ACAACAATTTTTTTATGTGTTTTTATCAAATATAACACCTATTATTATGTGATCAGCTAGCTCATGAAGTTGTATGATACGAAAATAGCATATTTCATCACTTGGGCCTAAAGTGACTCTTTTCCACCTGAGGTCAAGTTTTACGCGAGGGTTGAAAAGACACTTTTTGCTCGTGTGATGAACTATATTTATCGTCATAATGCACCATCATTTGAACAAAATATGTTACAAAACTAAATAGTTTTAATTTAAAGTAACTCGAAAATCTACTTCTAACTTGTTATCAATTTAATTTGATAATGGAAACAAGGAGCTGTTTAGTACGCGATTCAATCGTTTCGTCGATTGTGTTTAGTGTACATTATAATGTTGATATGTTGAATTTACAAGGCAACAATAAACAACAATCGATTAAACAATCGATACATACGTTACATACGATTTTTTACAATCGAAATTTACAACTGAGTTGACATCAGCTGATTTTTACAGAGTAAAAATTCCACTTTAGACCCGCAACGCATGCAATTAAAAATGGCTGTTTTTGCTGCAGTATGGCAAAAATGGCTGTTTTTGCTGCATTATGGCAAAAATGCAATTATTTATGTTGTGAAGGTACATAAAGTCAGTGCAATGTACAGCAGGTAATGATGTAATGTTAGTGACATTGCCACTTCAAATAACAATCTGTCTACTGTACCAGATATGTGGTCAGCTGACTCATGTAGTTGTAGTGGATGTGATCAATTCAATTGGTAATAATATGAAAATAACATTAAGTTGTTCAAAGGTTTATTGCGGACATTTTCCATCACGATGGTAAAAAACAATACACAAGGTTTTGGGATCTGGAATCTGATCCCGTCCTCAGGTGAAATAGTATATTTCGTACCTAGGGCCGAAAATGAGGTTTTGCCGGCTCGAGATAGTTTTTAAGTTCGAGACGAAGTCGAGAACTTAAATCGATCGAGAGCTGCAAAACCATTTCGGTCCGTGGTACGAACACTATTTTTCACCACACTTTACCCTATTACCACTATTCACCACTATAATAATGCACACTGATAGTCAACACAACTACAACTTTAAGGTTATGTGAAGAAATAATTTGAGGAATCAGCAAAAATAAAAATAAATAGTTGCTAGGCAACGGTGACAATAACACAATTCTATTGCAATGCTATGGATTTTGATTGTGTATTTAAAATGCATTCATGTTTTAAGTAAGTAAGCGGACAGCTGATTTTGCGGCCCCGGCCTGTAAAAACCTGCTCGGTCCCCAAATTATGGACAGCTGGCATCGCCAGCAAAACGTAACTTTCGGCCACCAATTAACGTATGTAATACAGCCAAAAACATGATAGTGTGGTGAAAAAATCTTAACTAACACATTACAACTAACAATACACAAACCAACAACCTAAGTTGGAATACACTACAAGGGTAGAAGTCAAAAAATGGACAAGCAGAAAGTCAGTGGCAATGTACAGCAGGTAATGATGTAATGTTAGGGACATTGTCACTCCTACCATAGACTAAGCTGTTTTATCTATGCTCCTACTAACAAGCTGTCTACTGACACTCTACTGACTACTGAGCTGACTCGTGTAGTTGTAGTGGATGAGAACAATTCAATTGGTAATGATGTGAAAATAACATTTTCACCACACTAAGATGTTTTTGGCTGTATTGCATAGGTTAATTGGTGGCTGAAAGTTACGTTTTGCTGGCCATGCCAGCTGTCATCGTAATTTGGGGACCGAGCAGGTTTTTACATCCCGGGGCGGCAAAATCAGCTGTCTGCTTGCATATTAATTACACAAACAGTATCTATAGCATTGATAATAGCAACTGTTTATTATTATTTTTGCTGTATTATTGTTTTTGCGTTTTCGGCCCTAGGTACGAAATATACTATTAGTCAGTGACAATGTACTGTAGTGATTAAAAATTAAAATACCCCCGCCGCAGCAACCTGCTGACTAAGCGAATTTCCATTTTCCTGAATTGATTTTAAATTAAATATATTTAAATGACATTATGTTTTTATGAGCACTTAGGTTTGCTGCTACAGGGAGGATAATAAAGTGTGGTCTTAAAATGTTTATTTTAAATTTGCAATTTTTTTTAATGTTCTCTGTTTACAGTAACCAATAATAACCATACAAAACACTTTGGTATACTAAATTATTTGTTTTTAAGCTCTTTAAAATGGTACCCCATAAACCCCTGTAAAACCTGTTTCCATGGTCCGATTATGCTGGTTCGCGAACTCATTCTTCAAGTTAATCCCGCCTTACACTTTCAACCCAAAATCTTTTATTTTTTTTTTTTTTAACTTTATTTAATTTGATAAAAATTGTTCAAGTTATCATGTTTACGGACGTATATATCTAATATATATATATATATATATATATGAATGAATTGAATTGAATGAACAGTGTTTTTGGCCTCTAGGGACATTGAAATGAAAAAGTATATCGGTCCCGGCTCCCGGTCTTACCATGCCACCTACGGCATTAGGTAGCTACTTTCCTTTAGGGAAATTCGCTAAAAGAACAGTTTAAAAATATTCGAAATTTTGGTCAAAAAGAGTTAAAATTTATAGGTTAAATTAGCATAAATTGCTCAACAACTCCTACATATTTATATTTAGGGCATTTTTGTAAAATACAAAAGTTGTTCCTTGTTGTTTAAGCAACATTTATTGTATTAAGTTTAACTCGCTATATATTACAGTTTTGGATATATAAGCTTCCTATGAGTTTCATGTAATAAATGCCACCACCATTTTTAAAATGTTGGATTCTGAGGTTATGCCCACTCTGCCATGCTGGCACCTGAGTGAAAAATTATAACTTGCATAGTACCTACATGATCCCTTAAGGTGTTTTTCTATATACATAAAATGCACTCAGGAGTGAAAATTTTAAAAACGTACGTTTTCAGGAAAAGCACTTTGCAAAATTTGTTCCCCTTTTTTCAAAACTTTTATTATTTTTTTTATTTCATTAACATTTGAAGTTTCATAAAATGTCCATGGTAACGCAATATCTTTGGTAGTTTTCTTTTTAAAGAGCATCTTTAGTAGAAAAACACAAAATCCTGTCACGACCATAACGGACGTTTAAATGAATATTAAAAATAGTTAATATTATTTTTATAACTATGTTTTGCTATGAACTAATTTACTTTTTTGACCATTATACAATAAAAAGGTCACTGAGCTTTTAGTATATTTGGTCTTTCTAGAAAAAAAAAACTCAAAAATAGAAAAAAGCCAATAAAATCTTTTTAAGTTTGTATAACACCGAAAAAACTTACCTGAGACCCGAAAAATCGTTATGTTTGTATAGAGGTGTGCTTCTTTTGTATATAAAGCATTGAAATATGACGATATTTTAATTTTTGAAATTTTTATGATAGAAATCATGAACGTGATGGTCAGGGACAAGCGGTACAGTCGTGAATTGTCTGGAATAATCTAAATCTTTCTAAACAATCCTTCAATTATACTGTTAGTTATAATAAAACTATGTGTTTCAATTGAACTAAACTGTTCAATTTACAATTATATTAAAGTTATTGTCACGACCAAACACACTATAATCCATAAGGCTGGATTGGTCGTGAAAAAAACCGCGATGGTCGTGAAACTTTGGTCGTGAAATTACGTGTTATTTGGCTCTGTTCTGGCGGTAGTCTTGCACCTCATGTTCGAGGATATAAAGTGGACTTCTAGGTTAATTCAGCAATTGAAATATCTTATAAACAAAAATTAACACCATGTCTACTTCATTGAATGACTACGTACGGTCATGAACACACCAAAATTACAAAAAACACAATCATTCCTTTATTAATCTTGTAATTCCTCCTTTCAACTCAAAACGACCGGCACTACAATCCAGATGTACACCCCGAACTAGTCTCTAAAACCAACTGACTCCATCGACGCCAGGCTTGCCACTGTCGTGCTCCAAAGTTGAACATTTTTCCCAAATGGTCGTGACGCCAAATCGAGGGACAGACTTATTTTGTCATGGTAGTCAGTCTGCAATGACAATAAAATTATAATATGCTCCTTTTTTGTAAGTTTAATAACCATTGATGACATAAAAATATGGCTTTATATATTTCGACATGAATAATTAGTCTAAAAACAGCGTGAAAGTTGGAAAATGTACCCTAGGGACACGTCATGGTCGTGAATTTCGAGACTTTAAAAATACGAAAAAAATACCTAGAACCTATTTAAAACCAAATAAATGTGTGTAACATGTTGCCCCCGTCCCAACAAATATTAAAACACATAATAATAAACTACAAATCCAGTATCTACGAAGTAAAAGGCCAGGGACATGAAAACGTACGTTTTTAAATTTTCACTCTCAGGAAACCCCCTAGCAAGTGGATTAAGTGGTAAGTAATGAAATTCATGATTTATTAATGTTGGTGTAATCCAGTGGGCAAATTGTCATGTGAGTTGATGTTGATATGAGGAGCCACATAATGCCTGGGTCTGGTAATGGCAAGATACAATTATCTCAATCGCTTCCTATTAGGTCAATTAGGCCACAGTTCTGAAATTATGCTAATGGCCTGTCTATCAAGCTTCCAATCTCAAGTACATTTCAGTAATGCATTATCAGCTTCAGATTAAGGGATCCAATCAGTAATGATTATAAAACAATGTGTAGATAAATTAAGTCAGATCAATAAAACTTTCCCTGTTTGAAATTCATTGTTGGTGGGTGAGTTAATGGTCTGATGTGTTATGAATTTATTGTGATGGAAAATATCCACAGTAAATCTTTGAACAACAATAAAACTTTGTTTAGGTCGATTTTTGTGCATATTTCTTACCACAGATGAATAGGCACATAAGATTAGGTGTAAAAGAGTTGATTATTTTAATGATATAATATGTCTACATAATATTTGAAGTATTTCATTAGCACATAAAAAAGGATAAGGTAATTTTTTTAAAGAACAACTTAATTCATTCAATTTATTAAACAGATAACATTTCATGGATACAACAGTAACATAAGAAACTAGCTGGACATGACTAACTTTATAGGCTAATTATTAAATAGCTTCTTGATTATTACATACACGATTGTGCAAGCTGTTTATGGAGAATTACAAACATCATACATATTACTTATACAAAGTGAGTAATTATTTGTCATGGAATATTTATTTGGAAATCCTCATGGAACATCCTATGAACCGTATGGTGCAAAGCACTCTAAAAGGCTAAACACAGCCTAGCTAAGAATTAAAATTAAATTATAGAAAATTATATTTAGGTAGGTACTCATGTTATGATTCTCAACGATTAAAAATACTATTATGTTATGATCCGAGTCAAATGATTTTTAGAAAACTGCTCAATTAAAAGCTACACTACTAAATAACAGAACTATGGAAAGGATCTCAATCATGAGTTTGAGGTTAGACCTGAGGTATTATTATATTTGATCAGACATTCTCCTTATGCTTCTTTTGTATCAGCCCAACCATCCACATTGGTCTTATTCTTGTTTGAACTGCCTTCCCTTGTCTCTGTAATACACAATTAGAGAGACATGGGAAGGCAGTTCAAGCATACAGACAAATTTTATTAAAGCGTTGGGTTTGAGTTTTAGGCTCCACTGACATTGTTTGTGACGCCATTGTATCTCTTTGAGAGATCCCAAATAAAGAAATTTATCGAGTAAAGAAAGGTGCAGCCAAGCCTAAAATTTAATGCCTGATGATTTGCCATATTGATTTTTTTAACGTTATTCGTAAAATAATATATCACAGGAAATCATTTATATACATAAATACTAGTATGATACTTTGCTTTTAACAATCTGCATTATTATTATTGTTTGTAGAGTAACTTTCCCCAAGAGATAATAGAAATTATAATATTACAACAGATATTAAAACTATATACAAAAGGTAAAATTCAAAGTATTCAATATAAGACTAGAAAGAAGTACAAGTTTTGTCTTAGTCAAAGAGTTTATTCAGTAACAAAATTATAAATAATAAAGCACGCCTTGGTATTTTCTAAATTTGTTTATTCTTCATAAACAAAACCTATTTTTCTAAACAATACTAACTTAAATAAACTTACATTATGATATTTATCACATGTGCATTTTTCTATTCTTCGTTCACAATATTTTTGCAGTTTTAGAAGAATAAATCTATCCCCTCCAATTGACTCCTTGTTTTTAAAATAATAGCTCAATAGCTGATCAAGCAACAAACATTAAATACAAAAAAAGTAGTGGGGAAACTTCCTCTCAAACCACCTAAATATTGTGAATAAAGTATAGTTCAAGAATGGTTTAAACTTTAACAAGAATAAGCAAACTATAAAATAAGATTTAAAGCTAGGAAACGTAATATGTGTATTACAAAATCCAGTTAAGGAACCATTGAGGAACAACCAATTGTAAACAATCTTACAAACCTCTTAGAAAAAACACTTGTTTACAAGTTTTGCAAGATAAAATTATAAAATAACTTTAATGGTACATGGATTTTAAGATGATTCTTTAATTGGAAACCATACACACCAATTAACTCAACTTCAACTATAACTAACTTAATTGTTTTCCTAAAATTAAGAATAACATTCTAAATAATTGTATTTAGAATATAAATGAGGATATAAGAGAAAATCTAAAATAAAATATAACAAGCCCTCTTGTGTGTATTACCAAAAAAATATTGGTTCACATGGAGTAAAAATGTAGAATATTTTGGTATGAAAGTATCCCTGATGTGTGAATTGGAGAGAGCCCTCATGTGTATGCGTGGTCTGATCATTTATATGTAATAATTATCCAAGACTGGCTGCTACTCCTAGACAAAAGATAAAATAGATAATTTGTGAAATAATATAAGGTAAATTCTATACCTACAGAATAAACTTATTTTCTTAATACAATAACTAATACAATACTGTGGCAGTTTAGTTTAAGATGGTAAATTCTATTCAGTGAATTTAAGCAGAGAACATGTTAATCATAAGTCAATACACATTTCTAAGACATTTTTCCTCTTTATTTCCTCCAAGTTATAACCCAAACTTTTAATGTCAGATAACTTAAAGTTGAAAAAGAGTCTAACTAATTTTTGTTTCTTTAGTCTTTAATCCTCCTATCCTCCTGACACTATTGAGAAATTTTACACTTTTAAAACGACATAACGGTATGTGTTTCATTTTAACGTAAAATAGTTTCCTGTGATAAGTACCAGTAAGTGCCAGTAATTCCAAACTTTGATGTTAAATTTGATTGATCTTAAAACAAATATGTGAAGATTTTGTTGGGCAAGAGTGCATAATGAACTCTCAATTTTATGGCTTGGTAAAAATTAGCCAAACAATGAGATTAATCTTTATTCAGCCAAACTTAAATTGAATTTATTAAAAAGTATAAAATCCCATAGAAAAGTTAAATTGGTATTGCCAGAGTGTACATTGTGTGGTCATCAAAATTACCAAAAGCATTAGCTGCAAAATAATTAACTTATTCATATGAATCAGAAAATTGCTAACTCTATATTTTGCTACAGATTAACAAAACAACCTTTTTTTGTTTTTAATTGGAAGATACAGGAAAATAAACCAGGAGCAAACATTTGGCTTACGATCTTGTAGCACGATTCATAACAAGTTTTATAAAAATAATAAGAAAAGAAAACATAAAATTTAGTTTGGAATTCAAATAAATTATAATGGTTTTTTTCACAGCTTACACAGCCTCTATAAACCAATTGTATATTTGTAATTATAAGTATTAAAATGTATACAGTGTCTTTGTGTATCAATTATATAAAAGCTCTACAATTATTTCATAAATTAATTCCCTTAAAATACTTAAATGGTTTTTAATATTTTTTTTATGTCAAAACTTTAAAGCTATAATTTAGAAATCACTATTGGATTTGAATACTGTCTACATCTCAAAAACAGGAACAGACCCAGAAAACCTCTGGGGTTGGCAGTAGAACTACCTCTGAAATTTTAAAAATAGTACCTAACAGAAAAGATGTTCACAAATATCCAAAAATTAGATTCATACCCCTGCAGAGTGAAATGTTGAGGGTAATTTTGAACTTAAAATAATAAAAATGAAATGGTTCACAGGAAGGATATGGTGATGAGTTACGACATTATACATTTAAAGTTATTTCATAATTACTGATTTTCATCTCAAGCAGACATATACTTTTTACCAAAAAAATAATTGTAAAGGTCTACACAAGTTGTTCGTCAACAAAAACATTAAGTATTTTATTAACGCAAAAAAATGTTTTAAGTGGCTCTTAACTTTCCATTATTTTTATTGTGGATAAAAACAAACCAAATAAACATAAAACATTGATTTCCACTCAAATTAACAATAAACTAAGAAATTGCAGCCCTACACAATAACCCACATCCACCTTACAAGGTATATGTTGAGCTTCCCTTACAGATCTTCAAAGAATCAACGACAAATAAAATTATTTTTTTGGTTATAAATCCAAATCAGTAAATATATAAAAGGAGAGGTATACAGAAACATTAGAAACTATCTCAATTTCTAGTATATACTAGTATATTTGAATATACTACAGGGAGTATATACTTTGTAAAAAGGTCAAAAATCAACTAATACTTGATGTGAACGATTGATAGAATAATTTTGTTCAAGAATTTGAATTGTAAAACTGATTTGAATTTACTATGTTTTTATAACAGAATGGCCAGAATATTTCTTTAATGGTATAGTAAATTCAGTTATGGTCACTTAACTCTTGCAAACCTGTAAACAAGACTATTTTACATTTTTTATCAATTTCATATCAGCGACATTAAGTAAACTATAAAAAAATAATTAACTGTTTTACTTCAATAAGGTTTTTTATTACCGTAAATATGACGATAAATCAACACAAGGTAATTTTAACATTAATGTTTAAGTATTTTTTCTCCAGATTATGAGAACTGCTAGAATTTCATTTCAGCGATTCAGTTAACTATACCAATTATTAGCTATTTCAATTAATTTTTTTACTTTAAATGGCGTAAATATCATAATAAATTAACACAAGGTAATTTTATTTTTTAACATCTAAAAGTATTTTTTCCACAGATTATATGAACTGCTAGAGTCATCTTCACTACATGAAGGATTTTCTAGTTTAGGTTTCTTTGACAGGAACTTAATGTCTTGGGGAGTAGTTTGAAAACTCTCTTCTCTCAGTCTTTTATTTGATTTTGCATCTGAAAATATATTTGAAAAATAAAAAAGTATTTAGAAACTATAAAAGAGTTACATTAGAAAAGCCAATGTTTCATTCAACGGCAAAGACAGCTAGCTTTCGTGGAGATATTACCACGAAGTTTCCAAAATGATTTCGAGAAGGCTATCTTTGTAAAATGTCAATATTGTCAATATAAAAAATAATGTAAAATAAAACAACAAAAATGTATAAACAATTTTATAAAACATAGTAGGGCCTACTGCAAGTATAAAGGTAGGGAAGTATTTTTCATATATTTGAAAAAAATCCGTTTTCAATAGAAACAAAACAAGTTTAATGCTTTTAGGCATTTGGTTAAAACCTAACCGAATTTCATAGACAACATTTTAGGTTGAATTTTAAGGAAAATTTATGCGTGGAATAAAGATTTGTTTATGTTTGAAAATTTAGAAACTGGATCAAAATGATGCAAAAACGTTACAGACCTAAGGTTACACCAAGGCAACACTAAATAAACAGACCGGAATGCTCCTCTGGCATGACATCATCATAGATGACGGCAATGACGTGATGTTTGCCGTTTGTGATCAGCTGCTTGTTTTAATCTTTTCTTGGAAAACAAAAATATAACAAAAAAATGACATTACGTCATTGCCATCGCCTATGATGACGTCATGCCAGAGGAGCATTACCGCCTGTTTATTTAGTGTTGCCTTGGTTACACAGAGGGTCTGAGCTAAGCTATTAAGTACACATGTTTGTACTGATATGTTGTCTACATATAATTCACAAAAAAAGATAGACTAGCTGGTAAAAAAATTTTCTCTTAAAATATCTCTTGCTACTTAATGCCAAGTGCTACATGCCCCAGTTCAGAAAGCGAACTCCCATAAAAACTTTTCAGAGGAAAAAAAAGTAAACTTGATAAGCTCTTTTCCATTGTAAAAAAAAAAAACTACGGCCATATTTGATTCGACAACCAAACAAAAACTCAAAATTCAGGTTAAATCTTATACGGTGTAAAACATCATACGTGTTAATTTCAAATATGATTTCTAATATGGTAGAAAAGCAATGGTTACAGAAACTAATCTAGAACACATATGTTAGTAATGGAAACAATTAAATATAATAGGAACACTTTCTCACAATATAATATTTTTCATTCCGTATCATATAATTTTCTTAACTTTTTCTTGAAAGCTTTGGTTCAGTGGTAATGTTATGTCTACCATAGCCTTCTGTAGTACACAAGGCCGCGGCGAGTGAAAACTGGCAACATCGCATCTGAGTCTTGGCGCGTGATCGTCTTGCCATTACACTGAATGGAGGAGTCGCGTACCGACATACTTATTCGCACATCTACTACCCTTAATCATTAGTGATGACATTAAACTTGTTACTACAGCATGCCAGATAGAGGTGTTGTGCCTTGGTGCAAGAGTAATTACGAAAGCTCAATTAAAACTGAATGATACATACAGTGTTTTAAGATTCTAATCTAAGTGATCTGCCGCGTAAGCAACAATGGCTTCCTGCTATTTTAACTCTTCGGTGAAATTTGACACCATAAACAATTCTCGTGTTTGCACGAAACATTTTCACGAATATGAACTTAGATTTTTAAACAAATATAAGAATAAAGACAATGATTCGTGTAAATATTTGCGAGAGTTTTAGGTGAGGTTGCCGTAACTACACTATTTCCTAATTAGTTTTTTAATCTTATTGATAAACTCTGTTGTTAAGTGATTAAAATAACTTAAATAACTAGCACTTCAAAGAAATAAACCGGTGTTTAATTTAAGTACTAGTAAAAATATGTAGGCCTACTACACCACCTAACCATACAGACATATAAAAATATGTCAGTAATAATGTAGTAATATGTCAGTAACGTAGTCATAATTTATGATGATAAAAGCATCAGAGTCTCCAGAGGGAATGTTGATGTGGTAAAAAAATTCAACTAATATTGCGGAAAGCGATATGGAGGCCTAGCTTCTGAAATTGTTTACAAAATGGCAAACGTTTTGTTTAGTAACTTAATAGTCAAAGGTTGTAGCTAACTTATGGTTCCTCAGGTAGACTAAAACATAATATTTCTATTTCAAATTGAAAATTAATTTCATTTGAACAAATTGTTTGGTGTTAGTCTCTACAAATCCATTTGCAATGGAAGTCTTATTTCAAATTATCAAAGTGGCAATGGCAATAGTCCTATTACTATTCTTGGTATAGTAGCTATATTTTTGTAAAATTTAAGCCAGTCGGTCTAGTAGTTTTTACAATATTGAACAACACACATGCAGACAGACACAATTTGATTTTTATATAATAGTATAGATTATCAAATTAACAAGGAAAATATGCAAAGTCCATACATTTCCACATGCATCGTACTTACAATACAATAAGATAAATGCAACAAAAATCATCATGTTTGTATGTTTAGTTTTAGACATATTGTGGTATGTTGCATTTTTTTCACTAAATAAACAAGCTAGATTCAATTTTTTCTATTTTACCATACCCTAGAATCCACTAATATAGGTGCATCAATTACATACTAATATTGGAAGTCATTTACATACTTTCATTCATTGATACAGAGCAGCAATACTCTCATTAATGTTAGCCTAGCAAGTGTGCAGGACCCAGGCGGCTGGTGAGTGCGGCGTTGCCAGTTCGAATGTCGCGGCCTTGTGTATTAGAGGTGGCTATGGTTGTACTAAATTTATAGGTCACCAAATGTATGCAAATATATATTTTATTTAGGCATGAGTTTGGAGAGAATTTATTATGTTAGATCGTATTATATTATAAGAATACTTTAACTGGAAAATGTAATAAAAACATCAAATTTAAATTTAATATAGGCCCTAGTTGTTATTTTTTACTACTATATGATCATTCAATTTTGTTTTGGAATTTTACACAATTTTATCCTAGTAGTAAAAATAGAAAAAAATATTTTTTTATGAAACCATAATTATATATTAATTAGGGGAAATAATTTTCTCAATAAAAACAGGCTTCAGCACACACAAATTCAGACTTACCCTGACCAACTAAACTGTCTGAGAACCAATCAAAAACTGTCGTAGTTAACTGGACAAGGGACTCCAAAACCACTGAAAAGACCAGACTATTTACACCAGATTATTTGGGTTTTTTACCAGACTTGCCAGGGTATTGAAAATTCTCTTTTCAACGGAAGATCAGTTTTTTAAAGACCAAATCAAATGAAACTTTAAAACCAACGTTTGTAGTTGTACATAGCATGGCTATAAAAACAGGTGACATTGTCAAATTAAATATTGTCAAGTTAAATAAATTCCCACTAGAACTTTATGAGAAGATAGTGTATTCACTATGGAGATAAAACTACCATTAGTATACAGAACTGCATGTAAAACAACAAAAAATATAACCAGGCAGGGACTCACCTAACATGTATACCAAAATAATCACGTTGTCAACTTTTTTTGAATTTTTTTTCAAGGTTTAAAACGACTTATGTAAAATCTGAGATTGACTAAAGACGTATGTGGAGATGGTGTGCTATTCAGTCTTTAATGGGCTAAATGCTAAACCTTGTCTTAATAGAGTCAGGAGGATAAATTAAAAATAGTAAACTGTACCTCTGAAAATTTTTAATTAATTTTTAAAACCAGTTGTTTTTAATTGTTGAATGGAAACCGTCTACAATTGGCTACAATTATCATATATTTGGGTGAGAAAAACTTGTCAGTTGAGAACTAATAATCAATAAGAATTTACAAAAGAAAAATTTAAGGCTAATTTGTATGTTTTTCATCATATTGGCACAGTGATTAATAAACTAATAAATCCAATGATTAAGGAATTTGATAATGTATGAAATTGTTTCATAATGAGATTTCAGCGGTTTGGAATAGTGGCATTCATGTAATTATCATGTTCTGAATACAACTGTTGTTACCTGTTTTTGCTCTCATTTTTCCCTCTGTGAACAATTTATCTTTTTAGAACACTAAACGTTCGGATTTAATTAAACCAACAGAGTTAACAACCGATAATTTTAAACGTAAATAACCACTAATCAGTACCTCATTTCGGTACCTTTAACAACAAGGAATTACAATGGAATTACAAAGGAGGTTTTTATCTCATCATGATCAGATAAAATATGAATCGGCTTATGATACATATTTTAGGTAAAGAAAACTGAGTTTGATGCAAACTTTATTCTTGGTTCAAAATCAATTTGATCATGTAAGAGGTGTATTCAATGTTGAGGTTGTATTGCCCTAGGAATTCTAGAACACCTTCATGAGTTAAAATTAACCCTAAGAGTTTAAAGCATATGTGATTACTTGTTAACTGTGGGCACCTTGAGCAAGAGACCGGTTGCCGGTGAGCAGGCTCGCCAAGCGACATACAGCCTCGTCGTTCCTCATAATATACGCCTTTGTCTCCCAAAGCATGTTCACCAGCTTCGCATCATTTTTTTCATCCATTGCGACGTCTTCTGATAATTGCGGTGAAAATCTGTTGAAATGTGAACTGGTTAAAGTTCTGCTATGAATCCAACTTTTATTTCATTTTGACTTAGCCAACACAACTTGTATATTGTTAATTCTGGCTGAATAAATGATTTGATTTGATTTGATATGGGGGGATATATTAACTTATTGAACTACCGTCCACATATATTTACTATTGATCTTTGGTTGATTTGTTATTGTTAATGCATGCAAAACAATGTACTAGCCTATTAATTATTTACGAAATTATCACTCTTCACTCATCACTCTTTCACTTGTTAGTTCAGCAATTACTGTACTCTATGTTAATTAATTATTTAATTTAACTTTGACCTCTAGGCCTATTATTAGCCATCTTGTACACGTGTGCCAACAGGATTTTTCCAGAATTCTGAGAAATAGTAATGATGTCCATAAGACCACGGGATATGATCACGATACTACCATAATATCATTGGGACGGATGCACATTTCACCAAATTTAAAAGCTCGGCTTGAACTTAGCTAGAACATAAATCTCAGGCTCTCACACTTCTTTAATTAACTTTTTTTAAATTTTTGAAAAGTTGGAGGATTGTGAGGTGCTGGAGGACACCCTGGGGCCTAAGACAAAGAGAGGAAAACGTGCAAAAAATGTACAATAGATTCAATTATACATTACTATGAAATCGTCAATATGCGTGATTTGATCAACTCGATATGACGGACGATCAGTTAATATAAAATATCAGAAATGACAAAAATAAATGTGAACAAAAACCATTTTCTTTATTTCATTCCAAACAACAACACACTCAAACTATTATTTGTTTTCAACCAAAAACAATTGAAGAACATATGACTGTTTATTTATGTATATCAGGAAACAGTCTTTTCTGGCAAACAAACAAGAAAAATATATTGAGGCGTTTTCTTTATAAATTATTATTCATCGTACGTCAATCATCCCCCCCAAAACCCTCAATATATATTTCAAATCTTCCTCTTTCTAGACCTTAAGTTATACCCAGGTGAGGCATTGTTATTGTCTTCTGCTTCTTGCACATCATCTTGGGCTTGAGTTGCTTCACGTAGTTGAGAGTTTGCGGGAGTATTTTTAACTCCGACATTAAAACCTTAACATTAACCTTAATTGGTGGATCAGACCTCAAGAGGTACACTCCCTTCCCTAGCTTGTGTTCCACCTCAAAGTATTCACACGACGTAACATTGAACGCAGGTAGTATCTCGGTGTCTGTTGCGGTTGACTTGACCACAGGAGAATCGGTCCGATGCAGGATCCCATCCTCGTCTCCTGAGATGGCTGATGAGTCCTCGACAATCTCTGTCCCTCGTAGGATCTCTTCTGCACCTCCTGTGATGGCCAATGAGTCCTCGACCATCACTGTTGGCCGCAGGATCCCTTGACTATCTCCCGAGATGGCTGATGAGTCCTCGACCATCACTGTTCGTCGCAAGATCTCTTCTGCACCTCCTGTGATGACCGTTGAGTCCTCGACCATCACTGTTAGCCGCAGGATCCCTTGACTATCTCCCGAGATGGCTGATGAGTCCTCGACCATCACTGTTCGTCGCAAGATCCCTTCTGCACCTCCTGTGATGACCGTTGAGTCCTCGACCATCACTGTTGACCGCAGGATCCCTTGTCTATCTCCCGAGATGGCTGATGAGTCCTCGACCATCACTGTCCATCGCAAGATCTCTTCTGCACCTCCTGTGATGACCGTTGAGTCCTCGACCATCACTGTTGGCCGCAGGATCCCTTGTTCATCTCCCGAGATGGCTGATGAGTCCTCGACCTACACTGTCCATCGCAAGATCTCTTCTGCACCTCCTGTGATGACCGTTGAGTCCTCGACCATCTCTGTCCCTCGTAGGATCTCTTCTGCACCTCCTGTGATGGCTGTTGGCCGCAGGATCCCTTGTCTATCTCCCGAGATGGCTGATGAGTCCTCGACCATCACTGTCTGTCGCAAGATCTCTTCTGCACCTCCTGTGATGACCGTTGAGTCCTCGACCCTCTCTGTTGGCCGCAGGATCTCTTGTCTATCTCCCAAGATGGCTGATGAGTCCTGGACCATCTCTGTACTATTCAGGATCTCATCTGTATCTCCCGAGAAGGCCAATGAGGCATCAAACGTCTCTGACGTAGGATCTCTATACCTCCAGGGATGGCCGATGAGTCCTCAAACGTCTCTGTCTGACGTAGGATCTCTATACCTCCCGGGATGGCCTATGAGTCCTCGGCTAACTCCAAGATATTTTCCAGGTTGTTGAATTTGTTTTCATTGTATTTAATTTTGATGTCCGATTTGTTCGTTTCATAGGTGTTAGTAATAAGTTTAGTTTCTAATTTTGATTGGTTTTGGTTTTCCAAAATCTTTTTAATGGAGGAGGAAATTACATTTTTGATGCCTGCCAAATGAGTATCCAATTGTTTTGATCGAGTATCTAACTGTGCCGAAATCTTTACTAGTTGTTGATTTACACTACACACCTACCTTCTTCAAGTGATGAAAACTATAAAGATAAAATTAGAAAAAACTAAACTTTTTAATACCACACTTCTATTTTCAACAACTCATATAAAACTATTATGACAACAAAACAAAACCAAGCCATATGACAATTAAATTAGTCAAAAGTAAATATTCATCATATCAACAGACTAGGAGATATAACATCCTCCCACCGAGTAGTATTACTACTCAAACATGAACCTTTTTGGAACTTTGATTTTTCGTCCAGCTTGTGTTTTAATTTCATCTTGAGTATTTTTGTTTTTAAGTCCATCACTATTAACTTCTTTTCCCACGTTTATATCTTTTGATGAGATTTCAAGCGGATACAATCTTAGTATCGGTCTCAACAATGTCCCATGTGCTATTTGTGAGACATGCTCCCACCGTGACAGCTAATAATTCCAATCTTGGAATTGTGGTTTTCTTCAGAGGAGCAACTCTTGATTTTGCAGACAATAGTTGGACTCTTACTTCATCTTCAATTTCAACTCTCAAGTAAATAGCTGTTGCAGAGGTATCTTTACTTGCGTCGCAAAATGTATGAATACTACAACCATTTGAATCTATAGTCATTTTACCTATCCATCGGGGTATTTTCACTTTTTCAAGAGCGCTTAACTCACTATACCACAGTATGAATCGTTAACTGATGTCTGAACTTACTTCAGTGTCCCAGTCAATTTTCAAGTCCCACATACTTTGCAGAAGAAGTTTAGGAAACAAAGTAACAGGGCAAAGGATACCAATTGGATCAAAGATCTTGTGAGACATGGATAAAATGTCTCTCTTTGTGATTCGAGACACTTCCAAATCTTTAATACAGTTCGTCAGGTTAAAAAACAGAACGTCCTCAATATAGTTCCATTGAACTCCCAAAACATTAGTGACAAACTTGGTATCTCCTTCTTCAATGATGCTCGTGGCATGCCATCCTCTCAAATCAAACTTAGCGGCAGCCATAACTTGTTGCCAAAGTGTTTTAGTTCCTCATAAGTATCTACACTGGTCGAAACATTGTCCACGTAAAAACTTTTACTCAGCTTCTTTACCACATTATCATCATACTCCTGAGAAGTCATAGATTTTTGAAGATGCAGATCAATTACTGCCCCTAGAAGAAATGGACTACATTTCACTCCAAAAACAACTCTTTTATGGCGGTAAACAATACTTTGGCTTCTTTCATTGATGTCAAACCATAAAAACCGAAGAAAATCTCTATCTTGTACATTTAACGATATCTGTAAGAAGGCTTTTGCTATATCAGCAATAACTCTAAACTTCCCTTCCCTAAAACGCATCATAACAGAAGGAATCAGTTCAATTAAATTTGGTCCATTTTCAATACAGTCGTTCAATGAGGGTGAAAACTTGGTCTTTGCTGATGCATCAAACACTGGACGAATTTGTGTGGTAATACTACTCTCCTTCACTACAGGTCTATGTGGCAGGTAGTGAAAGTTGTTGTTCAAATCGTCAGAAGGTACAGCTTCAATGATGCCATCACTTAACCACTGTTTAAAAACTGAGTCATAGTCTTCGGTTAAATTGTTACCATCCAATTTCTTTACAACTGTTGATAACCTCTTTTCGGCTAACTCTCTGTTACTAGGCAAAGGAGGATGACAATCAACCCAGGGTAAACTTACTTCATATCGACCTTCTTCATTTATAGTGGTAGTTTTTATAAAATGCTTTTTAACTGCCAAAGCCTTTTGCTCTTTGGAAACTGATTCACTTGTATCAGTTCAGTAAAGCCTATAGTGTCTAATCTCCACAGTTCCGATATGTCAGCATCATTAATAAACATTGATGTTACAACAGTGGAGAGTGTAGTTGAACCTGTACTACCACTAATTATAGCCTTACCCATCAGTGTCCATCCCAGAAGAGTTTCCATAGCCACTAGTCCAGATTTCAGTTGAATCATATTTCCCGTGAATAGTTTACCCGCTATATCCGCTCCAATCAAAATACCAATTGGTAGCTTGGTCTCATGTATGTCAGTCAGAGAAACATTTTTCTCTATAAGTTCCTGTATCCAGGGACCTTCGGTAACAGGTGAAATTTCCCCGCATATAGTAGCTTGACTCAATACCTCAAAGTTGCAGTTGTAACTGTAATCTTGACTGGTTAGAAATACACGATGTCTGTTATGAATTACTTCACCAGATTTGACATTACCAAAAAGAGAGTGTATGATTGTTTCTTCTCCTAAGCTTTCGTAATTCATTTTTTCAGCCAAGTCCTTTAAAATGTAAGAACGCTGTGAACCAGAATCAAAAATAATGCGAACAGTCTCAAATTGATTACTACCTGGGGTTCTTAATCTTGCCCTTACTGTTTGCAGAAAGACTTTCACTCTGCTACTTGATTTATTGGCCAAAGCGGTATCTTCCACTACTGTCATTTCTTTAGATACCTCATCAACACATTTGCTTACACATTCATTCACTACTTCTTTGGAATGAATAGGCCTACTAGGACACATTATAGGATAATGTTTCCTTTTACAATTAGAACATGACAAATGAGCTCTACAATCCTTAATACGGTGACCAGGCTGCAAGCAAAGGAAACAGCATTTCTTTTCCTTTAAAGTGGACACCTTATCAGACAATGGCAATTTCTGAGCAGCAAAACAGTTACTACTCTTATGATTCTTATCACAAAAGACACACTTTGTATAAGAGTTTTGAGTTTTACCAGAGGACATGAGGCATGAAGCTGTTGGTATGTCTATCTTACCTGATTGAGTTTGAGATGGCCTTTTAAAAGATTTCTCCTTCCCAGAGCTACTTATCCCAAAACCTGCCATGGCTAGACCGATTCTCTATTCCCCTTCAACTTCAGACAGCATAAACTTCATTAAATTATTGAGCCTTTCCTGAGGGTCTGTACCTACTCTCAAAGGGCTTCTTTGCCACACCCTTAAGAGATCTTCGTGCATACAACTTTCAACTACATGGAACGGAGTATAACATGGACAAACATTTATCTGTTGTAACTCCCAAAGTATCTAAAGCACGCATATGAGACTCGAGTTTGTCATACAAACTTTGTAAGTTCATTGTGTTCTTGCCTCCTAGAGCATTTTGTAAAACAATTTTCAAGAGTTCCCTGACATAAACCTCTACCAATAGGTCATCTTTACCAAATCTGGCTTTCAAACATTCAATTGCTTTTGGATAGTTTGCACCAGTCGGAGGAAAACTCTGAACTACATCAAAAGCTCTTGATCCGGTAACTATGGATTGCAATAAATATTGAAACTTGTCCTCTGAATCAATGTCTGAGTCACTATGAATTTTGCTAAACTGACTCCAAAAAGGTAACCAATTGATCAAATCTCCATCAAACTTTTTAATCTCTATTTTAGGGAGCTTAAATTTCTTCTTACTAGCATTGTAACAACAAGATCCAGAATGAGCACTAACTACATCGTTACTTTGTTGTAGTAAATTCTGGACTCTTAATTTTACAGCTTCAAACAAAGCTAAATATTCTCCAGCTTTGATTGTTTCAGCTAACAGCTCATCTTCAGAAACATTATCATTATTCAATAACAAATCAAAGATCTGAGTATTCAAAACCTGGAGCTCATCAACCTTTATCTCCAAAAGCTTTAGAGTGGTTTGAATTTCAATTTTGTCTGTAGTTTCATTTTCAACTAAACTGTTTAGTTTGTTCAATGTTTTAAAAAAATAAGCCCTATATACTGTTCTATTTTTCTTTAGATTTTCCATCATAGAGATAGGTGAAAAACAGGTCCTGTCACGGTCGCCAAATGTTGATTTACACTACACACCTACCTTCTTCAAGTGATGAAAACTATAAAGATAAAATTAGAAAAAACTAGACTTTTTAATACCATAATTTTCAACAACTCATATAAAACTATTATGACAACAAAACAAAACCAAACCATATGACAATTAAATTAGTCAAAAGTAAATATTCATCATATCAACAGACTAGGAGATATAACACTAGTAACATACTCACCGGGTCTGCTGGTGGTTCTCCTAATTTTGTAATTTCTTCTTAACGTCCTGTCACGGTCACCAATTGAAATCGTCAATATGCGTGATTCGATCAACTCGATATCACGGACGATCAGTTAATATAAAATATCAGAAATGACAAAAATAAATGTGAACAAAAACCATCTTCTTTATTTCATTCCACACAACAACACACTCAAACTATTATTTGTTTTCAACCAAAAACAATTGAAGAACATATGACTGTTTATTTATGTAAATCAGGAAACAGCCTTTTTTGGCAAATAAATAAGAAAAATATATTGAGGCGTTTTCTTTATAAATGATTATTCATCGTACGTCAACTAACATACCTGAAGTATGGAACACCGATCATACTGCACCAGGCATTACACCTGTCAATGACTCTGCCATCAGCCAGGGTAGCTTGGTCCACCAGTAGTGTACCTAGTGCTGAGATACCCATAACCAGTCTGGCAGTGTCCCACATACTCTCAGGCCTGAACACGTCAACTGGTGGCAGCTGCGGAAATTACTCAGTTAATGTAAGTAAGTAAATGACAGTTGTTTAATAAGAATAGGAACCTTTTTTGTTCTCTAAACATTTTTCAAAGCAATAGTGTTTGTCATTTTGAGAATTTTTATGTATAGTAATACAATTTAATTAAATATATCAATGAAAAAATAACAAAGATAATTTAATTGAAAAAGTTGAAATAAGCTGGCTTAGTTTAAAATCAGCTAATGACAGGTATGTGATGAATGACTAGATAGTGCCTTATTGCCCTACTTGGAAACAAGCCTACTTGCTAAAGTGTTTGTACTACAGTATTATATTTGTTTTAAAACATCTACGTTGCAGCCAAGTAGCTTGACAAAACAATATATTTTTGGGTTTCCTCATCAAGTTTAATCAAAAAAATTTAGGCTCAGCTTAACTATTCCCTATTTGATTTTAAAACTGGGGACAACTTTTGACATGGAGATGGAAAGTTTAAACCTCCCAATGAATCATATGTAGGAAGTAGGACTACCTGTTTGACTGGTATGCAGCCAGTGCCCACTGACACCACTACTGTAGGAGGCTTCACCTCAGCATCCCGTCCTAAACAGCGTAGTGCCGTGTTGTACTCATGTATCTCTGTCAATGCATCCATAGTCGGGTTGTTGGCAATCAAACCTCCGTCAATGTACCGACCAAACGCCCTGAAACATTTGTAATTATTACACTAATGTATTTCCAAACACAAAAAATTGCTTTATTTGAGAAGCAAAGTTAAGGCTGGTAAGTCCTCTCTACCACTCAAACCCTAAAAAAGGGACACTCATATCGAAGGAGATATTTGGCCACAACAACGAATTATTAACGATACTAAAAACATGATACAATCAAAATTGACTAACGCTAAATAAAATTGTGCAATAATCCACCAACAACCCGTCACAACGGTGACAGAGACACATTCATGCCTGCTCCTAAAATAATATGTTTTATTCAGCACCAAACCTAGCACATTTTTCAATGGTTTTTACGTGGTAGGGAAAGACAATTTGTACTTCAAACCGCATATATCACATCGGTTGTACGGTTGCAACATGTACACTTAGTGGATGGATAGAAAAAAAAAACAGTATAAGTGACACGGATGCTGATTATTTTCAATGCTACATTATTTGACTATTAATATATATTTATTTTTACCGATAATTTAATTCCAAAATAAGTGAACAACTTAGTCACATCTATTACTGGCCACTTGTGAAAATCCATAAGAATAGTTCTAGGATTAGAATGAAAGTTCAAAGTTGAGTACAGACCTAAAGTAGGATGGTGCCGCCCCACTGGCACGTGCCGCCTTCCATACTAGCTGTTCATATCGCGAGGCCGGCGCTGGGTAGTCTCCTCTGCTTGCGTCATGCGGATCCAGCAATTCACTTGGCGATGGGTAGTTGCGGAACAAGTGCAAATCTACTGGCTTTCTATCTGCGAGAACTCCAGTGATTATCAACCTAAGCATGACAAAAGTTAGTTACTTTTATATAGGGATGGACGGGATTCAATTTTTAGTTCGGGACGGGATTTTTTATTCCTTTCCAATTTTTGGGAAAGGACGGGATGGGATTTTTTCCTGTGCATAAAAAGGGTTTGTTTTAAATGTCTTGAGTATTGCAGTTACCACAAAAGACAAACAAAATCTATTTTTACTGTTTGTGGTACTGATCTATAAAAACCAAAAAAAATGGGTAAACATTTACAGGTATAGAAACTTGTGACTCGTGGTGACGGTGTGATCGTCGGTATGACTCACGGTCACAGCGCAATCATCGAAATGACTCTGCGGTTACGGTGCGATCGTTGTAATGACTTGCGGTCCCCGGCGTTATCGTCAAAATGACTCGTGGTCACAGCGCAATTCGCGAAATGACTTCGCCACCTGCATTCGCGGAAATATCGTGAACATCTCTCAGGATAGCGGCGTAATCGTCACTCCCGAAGCAGCAAATCGTCGACGATTGAATCAAATCCCGTCCTGAAAAATTCCCAAATCAAATGTGAAACCGACACGAAAATCAGGAATATTTCAGGACCTGTCCATCCCTACATGTATATACTGATCGTCTCACCAACATGATTTTAAAATTTTCAAAAATATACAAAAAGGTTTTATGTACAAATGTAAGATTTTGCGAGACTATTTCATTTAAAAATGTAAATATTGAGGATAAACATTTAATAGCTTATGTTCAACCTCTATGGTTAGTTAACCAGTATTATTTTTAATTTATTTCACCTGATGTTGTCTTGTATTTTTGTCATTGTAAAAAACAGGTAAGTTTCTTTTGACCCATTTGATTCTTATCAACAACAAAAAAATAGAATATGACACAGCCGAATGGAGAACTCATATCGCTTTGAGAGAAAAACAGGGGAGTTAATTTAGTAAGTACAATATTGGTTAGTGGTTACTTATATACGTATTCACTCCTAAATGCTTACTTGGGATGTTCAGTGTCAGCCATGACAGTCTCTGTGCCAAGTGCCTGCTGCAGCATTGTCTCTAGGGGTTCACTGGGGTATGGCTTGGGTCCTACGAATGCGTACTCCTTCATGCGGAAATACAGGCACAAACAGTCCTTGAGTGACTTGCCTGCAAACACGGCCACTGTTAGTGGTTTGGTATGAGAACTCAACAAGTAATCTCTAAGTTGTTGGTTTGATCTTCAGTTTTTAAAGTAGACTAGGCTCAGCTGTCCTACATCGTTGTGTACTAATAAATTCTTAAACCAGCTGATCTAAGGCATTACATAATTCTCAGTATTTGTGACAGTTTTTTTTGTATTTTTCATCTATATTTGTTTTATAAACTATGGATGCAGTCTATACTCAATGTACTCCATAGAAAATAAACAAAACCATCATTTCACAACAGTTTGGTTGTACAGTTGAGTCCCGCAAACTCTGCGTAATGTGGACTGGAAGAGTGCCGAGTTTGTGAAATGCCAGGTTATGGAGAACTAGGGTTAAAAAAGAAAACTATAAAAATTTTAAGCTTTTTCACCGTCTCTTTTATTTAGGCTATATTTATATTACTAAGTCATCAGTTATAGTATAACATATCCTTGGTACGAGCTGCAAATGATTTGACTTGAGCTGGCTTGATTCCATGTTTAACTTGGACTAAAAAAATCACTAGTTTTCTGAGCCAGGTGATTGCCAAGCTATCTAGACTGCCGGGTTATCGAGTGCCGAGTTTGCTGGACTCAACTGTAGAAATTACAAGTCTAGAGCTCTTATTGAGGAGAAAGGAAGGATACACATAAAATGTTATGATAAATGTTATGTTAGGTCCTTTCTCCTCAATAATTATTCCAAAGCCAAGTTGATTTTTTCCTTTAAAAAGTCTAGAACTTTGTAACTTGCAAGTATATTGCCAATTTTTTATGGTTGTTAATATAAAAACAGTATTAGGTTTTGGTTTTAATAAATTTGATATAGTGTGAATTTATGAAAAAGCTGTTTCATTTCCAGAAAACTCTTAGACATATATCTTAGACATCTTTCCCGCAATCGTGGCAAAATCATACATCCTTCGTGATGGCAAAGACATCATCATTGTATCCATCCGTAGAGCAAACCCATGAAATATTTGCCTCGATCACTAAGACATCTTCGTTGTCTTCCACGGTCAGGGCAAAATCTTGACTATCCCCCATGATAGTGAAGACATCATCCTCTTCCCCTGCGATTACGGCAAAATCCTGACTCTGAACCACAGTCTTGTTGACATTAACAATTATCATTATCATTGTTCAACGTGATCACCGCAAAGTCACTAATCTTTTCTGCAGTCTTGTTTGTTGACATGAACATCATCGTCACCTGTAATCGGGACAAAATCTTGTACTTTTCTCGCGATTGCAAAGACTTAGTAATCGTGTCATGCGTTCGTGGCACAATGATTGTGAAAACAGATAAACTAAAACCGACATTTTCATTTCCATCAATCCTAATTCTGTTTTTTTTTTTACTGGTAAAAACTACAACCCACTCTAAAAACTGACCCACCCCTACAACTTACTAACCTGCAGCAAGTGCTAGGGCTAGAATGGCACCAGTAGAGGTACCAGCAATCCAGTCGAAGGAGTGTATGATGGGTTGCTGCACTCTAGCCTCCACATGTAGCAGTATAGTGACCAGCACCAGGCCTCTGATCCCTCCTCCGTCCAGACACAACACTCGCCCACCCACAGTGTCTCTACTCCCTCCTCCACCTGCACTACCTTGCTGGAAACACTTCATAATGGCTCGTACCTGTGAGACAAGAGGTAAGTTCATGTTCTGTAAATAATAAATACAGTTTTATTGCGTAACGTTGTGCTTGTTAAAAGATTTTCGTCAACAAAATTATTCTAGTTGGTTATGCACAGTTAATTGGCTTGGACCCTGTCTGACTTCATAAGTATTAATAAAACTATTGATTGGTTAGGTTAAGCTGAAATGAACAAAACATAATACTTAATTCCACCCAAGAATCACACCTAATTTTAATAAGGTAATAAATTGAAAGAATAACAAACAAATACTACAGCTGAGGTATTTATAACATTAGTTATATGGAAAGTTATCTTTAGAAACAAACGACCTTAAAGGGCAATTTGTGAAATAGTGGATAGTTTTGCGCAAGGTTTCTCGTCACGACGAACATTTTAAGTATATGGTTTATGGGGGTGTGACTTGTAGTTTTCTCAAAAGTTCATGGGTACTTTGGGATTTATATATGTACTAGCTGGCCCGACAGACGTCGTCCCTGTCCTAATTTAGTATTATGTAAAATGCTCGTTCATTTTCAAGATGAGCTCGTTCGCATGGCTCAATCATGTCCTGGTTGAAGTTCGTTCGCTACGCGCACTCACCTTTTCGTTGCAAATTAGCTTTTGTCATAAATTTAAATACCCCCGCCGCAGCAAACCTGCAGACTAAGCGAATTTCCATTTGCCTGATTGGATTTACACTAAAATGTCTACTTAAAAATATAACATTTATTTCCTATTTAAATAGAATTAGTATAACAAGTACTTAGGTTTGCTGCATCAGGGAGGGTAAAACTGTTTTTTTTTTTTTTTTTTTGTAAAATGTTAATAGTTAGTAAGAAATAAAAACATTTTCCAAATTTGATCAAAATATGTTCATAAACAAGCAAACTACAACAGTTTACTTATTCTCCATAAGAATAACATGGGAATTTTAAATTTACAGTTTTTTGGAATTTTCTCCGTAACCATTAGGCGCATAATAACGCTTCAATATACTAAATTATTTGTTTTTTTGAGCTCTACAAATTGGTTTGGAAAGAAATTGCTAAATTTTATGTTTTTTGGGTCAAAAATGGGAAAAACCTATTTTTACCCCATAAAACCCCCCATAAACCCCCGTTCCCATGGTCCGATCATGCTGGATCGCGAACTCGTTCAAATAAACGTAGGTTTACACGTTTGTACCAAATTTTATCAAAATCGGATCATTTTTGCTCGAGTTATCGTGCTAACGGACACATATATATATATATAAATATATAAATATATAAATATATAAATATATAAATATATATATATATATATGAATTTGAACGGATGGTGTTTTTGGCCTCTAGGGACCTCAAAACGAAACAAAAAATCGGTCCCGCGTCCAGGTCTTACCATGAGTACTACGGTAATAGCTTATTCCCTATATGGGAAATTCGCTAAAAATTTATAGTGCTGCACCCTCTTGGTAAACCTATTAACTTTTAATGCTATTTAACATCGCAGAATCAAATTGTTTAGTTGAACCAGCTGTTAAGATTCTTTAATTCCATTTAAATATGAGTACCTACTCATAAGGTTAACATGGGAAACTCCAGAGCCACTGGGGCGGAGCACTTTTGACGGATCTGCACCAAACTTCACACAAACCATCCTTGAATAATGCTTAATAATGCCTGAAAGTTTCATTACAATCTGTCAAGCGGTTTCGGAGTCCATAAAGGACAAACAAACAAACAAACAAACATACATACATTGGATTATATATATATAGAAGATTTGACATTTAAGTTTGGATGAATCCGGTAGTGTTGCCACACGGAGCAATTCAAGTAACTAATTCTATGTAAAGGCTCAATTAAACAGGGCATGTTTTAAAACTACTAGCTCGCTTTTTTTGCCTGCAGCCTTCAAATTAGTCTACTTGCAGCTCTCAATCGATAACAGCAAAAAATCTGTGGAAAAAAGTGGACTTAACACACCACCCACTGGATTTTGAGTGAAATTGTAAAACTATCCAAGTGTCATTGTTGCTTCTGCAAAAGCAACAAGTAGGATTAGTCTAAGTGATGTGAAGGAATTGGTTGACTGTGGGACTCGCCAACAAACCTGTTTTTAATTCTCTGCTAAATAACCTGTAAACTTTCCCTGTGTAATTCTATGTAAGTGGCTACCTGAGCACAGGGTGGATCTGGAGGTGGTATGCCATCCCTGGTGCCATTTGGTAAACATCCTTCTGTACAACCGTGTATGTCAGGTACACACCTCGGTGCTCCTACAGCATGTAGTAGAAACAGCACCTGCACAAGTAGTTGTAAACTAAACAGGATGTCTTCTCCATCTTGGACTTGGAATTGGATGAATCACTTACTATGTATATTAAACTGTAATGATTGGAAAACACTGTTCTGGATTGCACCACGATATCTCTAAGAGAGTAGAGATATTATCACTTACTTGTTATTATTAAATAACTTATTGATCAGCATTGTATGGGTTATTAAATTAACGGAAAGTAAATAAAAGAAACGTGTTATAACACTTACGCTTCTATATTTACGCTTCTATATTTCTTCTATATTTACACTTATACTGTTACTCACAAGACGGTAAATATACAAAAAAGATGGTAAGTGGTGATCGATTTCGATTGGATACTCCAATCATCATCAGACCCAATAGGCGAATGTTGTTATTATTGTCAATTTCCTCACATTTTTATTATCACTGTCAATTACAAAATCAATCGATAGAAATATTCAAGAAAGAGATTTTTTATTTTCTTATAGATCAATATTATTATTGTATAGTTGATTTTCAAAAAGAATGATGTCATTATTTTTTACATCAAAATGTTGCAAAAACTCATAATAATAGGCTACATTTTTAAAGTATCATACCTTGTTACTGACTTCGTCTGTTTCTTGAGCAGCAAAGTGTCTGACTGTGTGGCCTTCATTGTTCCTATAACAGACAGTAATTATGCTAATTTCATGATAAGTTTATTTTAAAATTACAAAACCTTTTTTTTAATTGCCACCTAAATTTTGTGTGTAATAGCACAAGCAGGCTTGGACATTGTATTCAGTTGTACTGGTTTGCTGTTGCTCATACTAATTTTAATTTTACCCCTTGCATGCAGAAATGCATGTAAACTATTACACATATGGTACAAGAGCTTCTGTACAAATGATGAGAACAGAAACATGACTACGACTACAGTACTATTTTCCCAGAAACTAAAACATGACTTTGGGAAATCTGGATTGGCTGTCCGCAAAATGAAATTCCAATGTGACAACTACTTTTCCATATTTATTGTCAGTGGGACACCGGAGCTGTTTGATCTAACATACCAGAATTTCTGTAATCATCAGAGCTCTGACTCATCCTGTAGCCCTACAGTAGATCCGGGTTTCGATTTGACAATTTAAAAAAGATGAAAAGATGAATAATTTTTTTAGCCCTGATGGATATGACTATGGCTTAACAAGAGCCAAAACATGGGTCATCCACTATACAGGACAAATTAGAGCTGTGGCGGAAATTCTGGTATGTATACTTTTATGTTAGGATCTATTTTTGTTATGCAACTTTAGGATCACATATGTTGGCACTAGCCCTTTGGTCATCCTTAGGCCTTTATCTTACCCTCTACAAATAACATGAAAGGTCATTGGAAAGATCAGATTAGATTAGTACTGTTCATACAACTACACATCTTGGATATTGATGGGGCTAGTTGTTCATCACACATGGCTGTATATGGAACACCAAGATTATTTTCTGCTACATGCTAACATCTGGTACCATCTATCCTCCCCATCAATCTTGCTAAATTCTTCTACAGTCAATTAAACCATCTTCAACTAACTAGCTCCTTTTGAAAAGGTAAACTTACATGGATGAAAGATCGGCACCAAACACAATGAGTGCTTGAATAACAGGGATATTATTGGCTTTAACAGCAAAATGTAATGCAGTGTTGCCATCTACATCTCCTATGTCTGGGTCTGCGTGTCTACTCAGTAGTGCCACAACACAATCCAGCCTGTTTCTCATCACCTTAACATTAAAAAAAGATTATGTTAAAACTGATTTTAAATTAAATCTAAAAATAAATATTGAACTAGTTGCTCTGCCCGTGCTTCGCTACGGGGTGAGAATGCAGTAAAGAATAATTTGGTTTTACTTTAATATACGATAATAATATACTGTAAGAAACAGTTACAACACACTTACCAGGAAACATATAGGCAAAGACACAATCATGCTTATTAATTATTTAAATGAATATCTCTTAATGTATTACAGTACCATCATTTTATTAAGTGACTTATGTTAGGGGTCTGCGGTACAGAAAATTTAAGGTCGGTATGGTTCGGTACGGTACGATATTTATTATTTATTTTGTACCTCGGTTCTCGGTACAAAATCGGTACGGCACACGGCTACCCGTATTTTCGCGTTTTTCTGCTCAGAACTGTATTTAAACCATTATTTTTAACTTTAATACATTGACATTACTATGAAAATTGATAGTATCCTACATTCATGGTATTCTAACAACAATTACTGTACCACACATTATTAAAACAAAACCTTTTACTACTACGAGGATTGTGTCAAGAAAAATCACAGTTAAGATAAAGGCTTTACCTATTTTACTCTGAGATCAGGGTGTCTAGTTTATTTCCATTATAAAATTCAAGACTAATTCCAGACTTTTCAAGACTAATTCCAGATTTTTCAAGACTAGTTTTTTCAACAATTAGTGGGTGTTGATACCAAAATGTATCGATTCTCGATTCTTGATAACGATACCAATTTTTATAGCTTAACCAAATTTTCTAAATAATACTACACCAACCCCTGTCTTTGTCATAAAGTAGTATTATGATAATGTGGTGTTTTCAAGTAAAGAAATAATGCAGCAATAAAAAATTCTAACTAGCAAATTTGGTTTTTTTATCATGAAATCTTCCGCATACCGTACGTTTAGACATCATCATTGATTGCAGCGGTTACAGAAACGTGATCGTCGTCATCCGCGATCACGGCAAAATCATGAACATTTCCCGCGGCTGTTTAGACACCACCGTCATCTCCCGTGGTCACGGAAACGTTATCGTCGAAGCCCGCAATCACGGAAAAATCATGAACATTTCCCGCGGCCGTGTAGACATCATCGTCGTCTCCCGCGTTCACGGAAACGTCATCGTCATCTCCCGCGTTCACGGAAACGTCATCGTCGTCGTCCGGGATCGCGGCAAAATCTTGAACATTTCCCGCGGCTGTTTAGACACCACCGTCATCTCCCGTGGTCACGGAAACGTTATCGTCGACGCCCGCAATCACGGCAAAATCATGAACATTTCCCGCGGCCGTGTAGACATCATCGTCGTCTCCCGCGGTCACAGAAACGTCATCGTCATCTCCCGCGGTCACGGAAACCTCATCGTCGTCGTCCGGGATCGCGGCAAAATTATGAACATTTCCCGCGGCCGAGCAGATATCATCGTCGTCTCCCACGCTCACGGAAACGTCATCGTCATATCCCGCGGTCACGGAAACGTCATCGTCGTCGTCCGCGATCGCGGCAAAATCTTGAACATTTACCGCGGCTGTTTAGACATCACCGTCATCTCCCGCGGTCACGGAAACGTTATCGTCGTCGTCCGCGATCACGGCAATATCATGAACATTTCCCGCGGCCGAGCAGATATCATCGTCGTCTCCCACGGTCCCGGAAACGTCATCGTCATCTCCCGCGGTCACGGAAACGTCATCGTCGTCCTCCGGAATTGCGGCAAAATCATGAACATTTCCCGCGGCTGTTTAGACATCACCGTCATCTCCCGCAGTCACGGAAGCGTTATCGTCGTCGTCCGCGATCACGGCAAATTCATGAACATATCCCGCGGCCGTGTAGACATCATCGTCGTCTCCCGCGGTCACGGAAACGTCATCGTCATCTCCCGCGGTCACGGAAACGTCATCGTCGTCCTCCGCGATCGCGGCAAAATCATCAGAACATTTCCCTCGGCCGTGTAAACATCATTGTCGTCTCCCGTGGTCACGGAAACGTCATCGTCGTCGTCCGGAATTGCGGCAAAATCATGAACATTTCCCGCGGCTGTTTAGACATCACCGTCATCTCCCGCAGTCACGGAAGCGTTATCGTCGTCGTCCGCGATCACGGCAAAATCATGAACATTTCCCGCGGCCGTGTAGACATCATCGTCGTCTCCCGCGGTCACGGAAACGTCATCGTCATCTCCCGTGGTCACGGAAACGTCAACGTCGTCCTCCGCGATCGCGGCAAAATCATCAGAACATTTCCCTCGGTCGTGTAACCATCAATGTCGTCTCCCGTGGTCACGGAAACGTTATCGTCGTCGTCCGGAATTGCGGCAAAATCATGAACATTTCCCGCGGCTGTTTAGACATCACCGTCATCTCCCGCGGTCACGGAAACGTTATCGTCGTCGTCCGCGATCACGGCAATATCATGAACATTTCCCGCGGCCGAGCAGATATCATCGTCGTCTCCCACGGTCACGGAAACGTCATCGTCATCTCCCGCGGTCACGGAAACGTCATCGTCGTCCTCCGGAATTGTCAAAATCATGAACATTTCCCGCGGCTGTTTAGACATCACCGTCATCTCCCGCAGTAACGGAAGCGTTATCGTCGTCGTCCGCGATCACGGCAAAATCATGATCATTTCCCGCGGCGGTGTAGACATCATCGTCGTCTCCCGCGGTCCCGGTAACGTTATTGTCGTCCCCAGCGGTCACGGAAAGGTCATCGTCGTCTCCCGCGGTTTCAGTAGTCGTCTCCCGCGGTTTCGGTCGTCGTCGTCCACTGTCGCGGCAAAATCGTGAACATTTCCCGAGGACATGTAGACATCATCATCATTGGCTTTCGCGGTTACGTAAACGCCAGACGACGATCGCGGCAAAATAATGAAAATTCCCGACTTTGAAATCAAATTTAAGACTAAATCCCGACTTTTCAAGACCATTTTGAAATTCAATACTAATTCCCGACTTTCCCGATTTTCCCGACTACTAGACACCCTAGACACCCTGTGAGACTTTGAATAGCCATGATAAAAGTGGTTTTAAAAATAGGATAAGTTTTTAGGAATAAACATGTTTGAAACATTTATTGGCAAGATAATTTCACACAACTGGTAAATTATTTCCAACCAACACAATGTCTAGTTGTTTTTTTAGATTTTTAAAACATATAAAAGCATTCAGTACAAAGACAGTGTAGTTGCCAGCTGTTCACAGAAGACGACAACGAACAACTGGAGGATATGATGAAGTAATGGTAAAGAGCATCTTTTTTATCAGCTTCAAAACTAGTTATAAAGATGGATACAACTCTTGCAAACTTTTTTTCTGAAACTAAAATTTGGATTATCACAGAGTAAGATTATTGTTTTTCATTTCCAAAGTTAACATCCACAATATCAATCATTAGTTTATCTCAGGCTCATTCCAATTTTCTTAGTATATTTTAAAGCTCTTCCAAAGAATCAAAAAGACCCAGGCCTAGAACTAATTATTTAGGAGGGCCTATATATAAATTGATTAGGTTACAATGAGGGTAGCAAAATCACTATCTAATTCATAATATTTAGATTGCATAAAGTACCTTCAACACAATAAAAAATACAGGAAACTAAAAACATTTAAGCCTTAAACAGCCACATCTAACAATATAAGACAAGGTACAGAACATGCAATGACATAATTTGTGACCGAGTAGGCTTGAATAACGAAAAAAAATTATGCAAACAACAACAACTATGCTTGTGGTTTTGTCAATAGAAAGATAAAATATCTATAACAAATATTTTAACTTATAAAATAAGATTGTAGATTAGTTACAAGTTTAATATGTAGCCATAAACAGTTTTATGGCAGTAGGCAATGGCCAGCGGCAAATTGAATATTCACGAAAATACTGACTGAGTTAGAGATAACATTTAACAGTCATCATAAAACTATTATTTTTATGATAAAATAGAATTGGGGGAAGTCGTAAAGAAATAAAAGTGATAAAACTCAACAGTTCTTGGAAGTACTTGAATACAACAATAACAATTATTGTTGTGATAAAATGTTAATGGATTTGGGACTGCTAATGGTTTTTATTGCATCACCACCCTAGTAATAAATTATGAAGATGAAACAGACATCTGATAAGACTTTTATGTGCTCGGAACCAACTGTCGTTGACTACGATAGTAAACTGAAAGTAGTTTATTATTATAATAGGCTGTACTGTACCGTACCGACTTTTTCGGTACACCGTAGACCCCTAGTATATGTGTATATCATTTAAAATATATGCAAAAGTATAATTTCATTGACCACATGGCACCAAGAAACAATTTTCCTTGTAAACAAATTAAATTAAATAGCATAACAGCATTTCTGACACCAGCTGGAGTTTTATAACAATGTTTGTTTCCCATGTTAATCTTATGGAGAAATACAAAACTTTAAAGGGCCCCAGGGCCACACTCTCTAATTATTTCCCTAAAGAGAAAGTTTCCTGCACAACTTCACGTTACGCTCTTTCCAATGACACCAAAAACATGTCAATCGGTTCAGTAGTTTCGGAGGAGTAATTGTCACAAAAAAACCTGCTTGCGTATTAAATAAGTACTAATAGATTCTAAAAAATATTTTGACAATTTTAGTGATTTTCTTAAATCCCAGAAATACTCTCTTTAAAAATAGAACCTGAACTGTTATCTTGAGCTGAAAAAAATGTGTGCCTTTGACAAAATATAAAACCAATGGTGATAGATAAGGGGTAAGAAACAAAAGCATACAACCCCTTTTTAAACAATCAATTATGTGGTATTACGTTTACCTCATGGTTACCATATTTTTTTTTACCACAATTTGTTGAACACTACATTTTTACCATAATTAAACACTCTTAGGAGCTTCATACCATGACATGTAGTGCTGTTCGCTTGTCAAAATTAAGGACGTTGAGGTCACAGTTGCGATCTACCAGCTGCTCAATAACTTCACGAGAAGATGCCCAGTGTAAAGGGGTCCCGCCAAACTTCATATCCTGAAAACAGACAAAAAGTTGCTTAAGTTGTTAAAAGACTAGTGTACCTGTTGCTCGAATTCGAGCAATTGTGAAGCATTACAGGCGTTATTTTAAAACGAATAACAGTCATAATTTCCGATGACTTTATAAGAGTCGACTAAAAGATTATGGAAATACTCAAGATGTACACAGCAGTTAGATATAATCAAAAATTTTTGTAAATATCTTATCTTTTTTCAAAAGCTGACCTTGTTTTTTAGTGTTTTGTACAAATTTTCCCCACTCATAGCCACATTAGGTTCTCTATAATAACGATTATAAATGAAAAAAAAACAAACATTATTTCTATTTCTTCTACTGTACTTGGTTGTGTTCTATGACTTTCCTGTTTCCATTGTTTGCAAATCGGCTCTTTCAATTATTGCTCAAGAAATGTAGCACAGTGTTAATTCAGTTTTATTTTTAGTATAACAAATCGTCCAGTATTTCTCACTTTTTTCCATTGTAATTTTAAAAATTACACCAACCAAGTATCGTCTACGTGTAATCTCCAAGAAGTGGTAAAAAAGGCAGAAACCAACCCATACAATAGATATAAGTTAACTCCAAAGAAATAATTTTAAGAGTTACTGTGATATTAGGATTTTCCACTGATTTGGTAATAGAACATTATATTGCAAAACATGGCACGATTCAGAAGAAAATCGATTTTAAAATCAGAACTTAATTTTGACAAATTTAGCAAATCGCAATTTAAATATTAACAGCTGTTTCATTCAAAAGTAGTGTAAATGTATGCATATGGTCGTAATGTAAACACATCCCCCAAGGGAATTTACCTTGTTTCTCTTTTGATGGCTCATCTACACACTAACACCTCTCTTTAGAGACCCCTACCAAGTTTCTACGCCCAGCCTTTCTCTGTAATTAGCTGTGACAAAACCCCGTTTTTCCTCCATAAGAATAACATGGGATGGGAATTTAAAGACAACTGGGGCAGAGCCCCAAAGGAATTTACCACGTTTCTCTTTTGATGGCTCATCTACAGACCAAGACCTTTCTTTAGAGACCCCTACCGAGTTTCTACACCCAGCCGTTCTCTCAAATTAGCTGTCACAAAGAAAAACAGTTTCAAATTAATATATAGATTTTTAAAATTTTCACACCTAGAATTATAGCACACATATTTAAAAAGATGTTTAAACCGCTGCTAGTGACTGAAGGAAAGTGAATGTTAAACACTGGTATTCTAAAGTATGTAGTTTTTTAGCTATATTAGTATGCACAATAAACATCCCAATAAAATATAATGGTTATGTAGGACTATTATAATAATTTGCACAAACCAGCTTGTGTTCTGGTTTTCAAAGCTCTGTTTTTACTTCTTATTTTGTAAAGAAGGTGGTAGACATCACTAGCCTAATTTGAACAATTAGATTTTCAAACTATTATACACTTAAGTACCTAAATCAATCAAACTCATAGGTGTATTAGTCTAAACATCTCTCAACTAGGGTTGGACGAGTCCTGAAATTTCGGGAAATTTTTGGAAAAAAATATTCCTGATTTTCAGGACAGGATTACATTTTTACATTGTATTTGATTCGGCAATTTTTCGGGACGGGATTTGATCCGATCGTCGGATATTTTGCCGCTTTGGGAGTGACTATGACGCAGCTATCGCAAGAGATGTTCACCATAGTTCCGCGAACACAGGAGGCAAAGTTATTTCAACAATAGCGCCGTGACCGTGAGTCACAAGTTTCTATACCTGTAAATTTTTCCCATTTTTTTTATAGATCAGTGCCACAAACGGTAAAAACTGATTATGTTTGTCTATTTTGGTAACTGCAATACTCAAGATTTCCTTTTTATGCACAGAAAGAAATCACGTCCCGCAAATCGGGAAGGAATAAAAATCTGTCCATCCCTACTCATAACTAAATTAGTCTAAACAAAATATATCACAATCACACACAATTTATTTCATTGTCCTCTAAAACATGCTGACACCGTTATAAAATTTATTACAATGTTAAAACTTTGTTTAAAAATTTACATTTTTTTTATGTATAAAAATTAGAACAAACCTCCATACTTTTTGAATTTTCTATAACGAATCATACTGATTACAAAGATTATTAGCATCTGCCACTGCCAGAAGGCTAAATTGTTTTTCAAGCAATTGGAATGACTAGTGCACCTGTTGCTCGAATTCGAGCGATTGCAAAGTATTACAGGCGTTATATTAAAACTAATAACAGTCACAATTTCCAATGACTTAAAAGAGTTAACTCAAATTGATTATGGGATAATGTAATCAATCACTCCACTCCAGTTATTGAAACTGGAAATAAACTCATTCTGAAAACGAACGCTTACTCCACTCCAGTTATCGAAAATGAAATGACAACGAACTCACTCTGAAAATGAAAGCTCTTGTGTGTATCATGTGTTTACTATGAACAGCTGTTTTAGTATGCAATTAAAACGAATTATTCGTCCGTTTAAGTAAGCAAAATCTTTTCTTCATAAGAAATACATTGGGATCTTGATGGCCTGTAGGGCAAAGCCCGAGGACTTACATTACAGGAATTTGATGAAAGGGGGCGTCTACACAAAAAATACTTAATTTTGACACCTCGTTTGTAAAAATCCGTCCATTATTAACGAAGGAGTACAGTAGTGTTTCGTAGAAATTGCAATCACGTATTATATATAAGGATTATTAGACTACAGTTTTATGTAAGTTAGCCGTGAAATAAATTTTACGTATATAGTTGTGAACTTAAATTTATTTCTATAAAATTTATTTCCATAAAACTTTATTTATTAATGCAAACAATTTGTGCTTGCTAAATTTGTGTAAAATATAAAATTGCAAACTTAATGATATATTCATATTAATATTAAAAAAGGTTCAAATACCTGCTATTAAGCAATCCAAATTTGTTGTTAGAACAACTAGTTTCGGTGTCTGTGTGACACCATCATCAGGCTGCACAAGGACAGTTTTCTTTCTTCATACGAAGAGCGTCATATTTACACGAAAAATAAATAAACATTTACAGACGACACAAACACGAACACGAGACATTTATGGTAACAAACTGATCAGTTAAGAAAACAGACGACGCTAACCCGGCGGAGTTTGAGTCCAGACTGCGGGTGGTCAGTGCAGTGGTGTACGTCCGTTATCTTATCATCCAGGTTGCGTCCTGTCAATCACACCTCCCCTCTCCAGTAAACCGATGGCAGTGTCATACATAAAATTAGACGAGAAAAATTGTTGGTCATTTAGTACATTATGGTGGTCGGATTTTACTGCCTTATATATCTCAAACTCTTCCAATGTGTTAAGTTTATATCTGTCTTTACAAAAATGTAGAATATCCATATTGCTGCTAATGTTGGTATAATTGTGGCCTTGGGATATTAAATGTTCGGCAAAAGACGATGTTTGGTGGGCTGTTGACGCTTTTGGAATATGCTCTTTGAATCGTTTTGTAAAGGAACGTGCTGTTTGGCCGATGTAATATTTCGTACAATCGGTGCAATTGATCTTGTAAACGCCAGTTTTATCAAAAGATTGCGTCATCGTGGGACTGCGTTCCTTTAACAATGAACCAAGCTTGTTTTCTGTTCTGAAGGAAACTGTGATTTTGTTTTTTGCCATGAGATTTTTATATTTATTGCTCATAAAGGTGCCAAATTTTGCAGAGATGAAAGTGTTCTGTTTATTAGTTCCTGTTTTATTTTTATGTTTGTAGATGAGTTTATCCACAATACTACTTGGATAACCGTTTGATACGGCTATATGTTTTATTGTAATTACTTCTTCGTTGTAGTCCTGTTCATTCATTGGAATTGTAAGCAATCGGTGTACGAAACTATTATATGCAGCTATTTTTTGTGAGTACGGATGATGGGATTCTGAGTGAATGGTCTGGTCAGTGCATGTCGGTTTCCTGTATATTTTAAACTCAAATTTATTTTGATGCTTTTTTATGGTGAGGTCCAGAAAATTCAAACAATTATTGTTTTCTTCCTCCAATGTAAACTTCATGTTGCTGTGAATACCACATAAGTATGCGTTGAGTAACGATAACTGTCTACTGTTTCCGTTGAACAAAACAATAGTGTCGTCTACATATCTGAAATAAAACAGGATCTTTTCTTTGTAGCGGTTGGAATCAGAAAATAAATGTTTATTTTCCAGGTTGTTGAGAAAAATCTCTGCTAAAATACTGGAGAGGGGGGAACCCATTGCCAGCCCTTCTTTCTGGGAATAATAGTCATTGTTGAATCTAAAGTAATTCTGATTTAGCACTAATCTTGTGAGTGAAACTAACTCATTTACTGACTCTCTGGATAAACTTGAGTTTTTAATGAGGTTTTGGTGTAGGAGAGCTATTGTTTCTTGAACAGGGACGTTGGTGTACAGATTTACAATGTCGAATGATGCCAATTTGTAGTTATCTTTAACAGCATGGTTCTTAATTCTATCAACGAGTTCTAGGCTATTTTTTATACTATGACTATTCTCCAATAAAATTTGGTCTTTTATTATTTTATCTAGCTTCTTGGCAATTTTGTAGGCTGGACTTGGCATAAAATTTACCAAGGGTCTGATGGGGACGTCAGGTTTATGGATCTTGGGGAGGCCTCTGAGTATAGGGGCTTGTGGATTAGTTACTTTCAGTGAGGTGATTTCACTTTTTGATAAAAGGTTTTTACTTTCTGAAATAGCTTTATTTATCAATTTGCTGTAAATTAAAGTCGGATCTTTATTTAAAGTATGTATTTTGTTAGCGTTCAAAAACGTTGTTACCTTATTTACATAATCGTTTTTGTACATTATCACAATTGAGTTGCCCTTATCAGCTTTGGTGATAAGAGCGTTGTGGTCGGCAAGCTTATGCTTGACGCTCGTTAGGACATGTCTCATGGCGTTGAACTTCAAATGTTTTCTTGTACGTGGGGGATTTTTTGCGATACATCTAGCTTTAAAAAAACAAACACCAAAACCTCATTAAAAACTCAAGTTTATCCAGAGAGTCAGTAAATGAGTTAGTTTCACTCACAAGATTAGTGCTAAATCAGAATTACTTTAGATTCAACAATGACTATTATTCCCAGAAAGAAGGGCTGGCAATGGGTTCCCCCCTCTCCAGTATTTTAGCAGAGATTTTTCTCAACAACCTGGAAAATAAACATTTATTTTCTGATTCCAACCGCTACAAAGAAAAGATCCTGTTTTATTTCAGATATGTAGACAACACTATTGTTTTGTTCAACGGAAACAGTAGACAGTTATCGTTACTCAACGCATACTTATGTGGTATTCACAGCAACATGAAGTTTACATTGGAGGAAGAAAACAATAATTGTTTGAATTTTCTGGACCTCACCATAAAAAAGCATCAAAATAAATTTGAGTTTAAAATATACAGGAAACCGACATGCACTGACCAGACCATTCACTCAGAATCCCATCATCCGTACTCACAAAAAATAGCTGCATATAATAGTTTCGTACACCGATTGCTTACAATTCCAATGAATGAACAGGACTACAACGAAGAAGTAATTACAATAAAACATATAGCCGTATCAAACGGTTATCCAAGTAGTATTGTGGATAAACTCATCTACAAACATAAAAATAAAACAGGAACTAATAAACAGAACACTTTCATCTCTGCAAAATTTGGCACCTTTATGAGCAATAAATATAAAAATCTCATGGCAAAAAACAAAATCACAGTTTCCTTCAGAACAGAAAACAAGCTTGGTTCATTGTTAAAGGAACGCAGTCCCACGATGACGCAATCTTTTGATAAAACTGGCGTTTACAAGATCAATTGCACCGATTGTACGAAATATTACATCGGCCAAACAGCACGTTCCTTTACAAAACGATTCAAAGAGCATATTCCAAAAGCGTCAACAGCCCACCAAACATCGTCTTTTGCCGAACATTTAATATCCCAAGGCCACAATTATACCAACATTAGCAGCAATATGGATATTCTACATTTTTGTAAAGACAGATATAAACTTAACACATTGGAAGAGTTTGAGATATATAAGGCAGTAAAATCCGACCACCATAATGTACTAAATGACCAACAATTTTTCTCGTCTAATTTTATGTATGACACTGCCATCGGTTTACTGGAGAGGGGAGGTGTGATTGACAGGACGCAACCTGGATGATAAGATAACGGACGTACACCACTGCACTGACCACCCGCAGTCTGGACTCAAACTCCGCCGGGTTAGCGTCGTCTGTTTTCTTAACTGATCAGTTTGTTACCATAAATGTCTCGTGTTCGTGTTTGTGTCGTCTGTAAATGTTTATTTATTTTTCGTGTAAATATGACGCTCTTCGTATGAAGAAAGAAAACTGTCCTTGTGCAGCCTGATGATGGTGTCACACAGACACCGAAACTAGTTGTTCTAACAACAAATTTGGATTGCTTAATAGCAGGTATTTGAACCTTTTTTAATATTATTTGGCAATCCGGAGGCTAACAACAACAATCATATTAATAGCCTGATTTACTAACAACCACTAATTAATGTGTATTGCTTAAAGGTGTGTAGTTCAAGGAAAATAGGCAATTCACATAAATTCTCCCAAAATTCCTTTTGGCTGATGTAACAAAGACCGGTACACAAAGATTTTGCTGGTTTTTTTTTTAGAACAAATTACTTTTAAAATGGGTCTGATGCTTACTTAAATTAAATGAAAGTATTTCTAACTAAAACCTTTGATAGGTGTATACAAAACTTAAATTTCAAACTCTTGAGACAATGGCATACACATTTTTTTTAGACATACCTATAATGTTCCTACAAAACCATAGTGGTAGACACAATAGACAGAACACAGTAATTTACACATATCTCTAGTTCACAACTGTTGTGTTTTCTACAACTAGACAAAATCAGCAGACTATGTCACCCCTCCTCCAACCGACAAGCTGAAAGATTTGTTAAAACCATCTGCTGATCAAAATCGGTAATACAAATCAACCTCCCTGAACAAATAGGGAATCTATTGGTCAATTAAAATTGATCGATTGTATACATAGCCTAGTTATTTAACTACCCAACATGAAAAGATAAATAATTTCTTAAATTTCTCTATCCCATACTCGGAGATGGTCATAAACTTTTTCACGTAAAGCACGAAGCACCAGTAGTTTGACAGTTTCATTTGAGGTAGTGACCAAGGTTATTTTACATGCAGATCATGGTGTCTTTGTATGTCTTTGATTTGTATTAGGCCGGCCACACACAGAACCGGGCGGGGCGGGGCGCGACAGGGCATTTTGCCCCGGGGCGTCTTGTGCGACGGGAATTGCACAGGGTCTTATGGAGCGCCACACACAGGACCGAGCGAGGCAGGGCACATCAAAAAGACGCCCTGGGGCAAAATGTGAAGCTCTCCAAAATTATGCCCCGAAGCAAGTCGATGCCGGGCAGAACTTTCTGCGCATGCGCGGTCATGTGATTTATTCCCTTTCGGGCAAATTTTGATAAGGATTATTTTACAACCGATAAAATTTACATATAAGACTGTACAGTAACAATTTATACACACCCTTTGATACGACTATACAAGTCGTAGTGAAGTAGTGATATTACTACAGTGGTTGAATAAATAATAATTTATCTTGGTATTGATAACTGAGGAAATAGAGGGCCAACGTTCATATCTTAAGGGTTTCAAAAAACACTCTTCTGGAGGTATGGCTGTTTGAATTTTGTTTTCTATTCTGCTCCCAAGTATAAAGTCAAATTTAAAAGTTTGCTAAATCGGCTCAAGGCTCAGAAATAAAAAATCCTATATTAATTTGCAGGTTTATGGGGGCCAAACTTTTTACTTGACGTGCCCCGCCTCATTCTGTGTGTGACAGCAGCAGGACAGGGCAAATCAGGCGTCTCGTCGTGCCCTGTCGCGCCCTGACCCGCCTGGTTCTGTGTGTGGCCGGCCTTACCGATTGCCATTTTGATAGACATTTATAAAAGATTACCAAGGGCAATGGCAAACCCTGGCAGTCCGATCCGCCAGCAAAGTTTCCTCAACCTTCACTTTCTCGATGGAAACAGATGGACGCTCACTGGCAGCCTCACCGTGCAAATATGTATGGCCTTCTGCAAACTCCCAAGCCAAGTTCGCACATCCATTCACATCTATTACACTTTTCTCCACATACTTCTGCGAATTGGCAACAGATTTCAATCAGAGTTTACGCTTACCACAAAAACCTAATCACAGGACTTGATTCATACTCAGTGAGAAAGTCGATTTTCACTCATATACCATATATCTTGATGCGATTAATCATCACGTAGGAATGGGGACCAGCAATTTTAGGGGGAATATAAGAAAAACAAAAAGCGTTAGTGTAAGATTTTAAATAGCTCTCATCATTGGGACGGGCACTCGTTGGAGACCTTAGTTCAAAGAGAACCCTTGTATAGGAACTTTGTTACTCTGCCTCGATCATGACACAACTAAATCACCTGCACATAGAGCTTCTTAGCGTTGCCTTCCATAAAGTCACCAACAAATCCTGGCGGCATGGTGCTGATCTGTCCCTTGGTCGCTGAGATATTGACGTCGGCTCCTTGCGCCAGCAGCGTCTGCACACAGTCCGGCTTGTCAGCCAGACACGCAATGTGGAGCGGAGTGTAGCCACAGATGTTGCGGTAGTTGAGACACCTGGGCTGTCCGCTGGTCAGCAGAGCCTACAAGGACATGTACTAGTAAGAAAACACCTTTGCAGGACTAAATTAAACAATGAATTCAAGTTTTACTTCTTTAACATCTTAAACATTTCAAAGTGTACAATTTACATAAAGCTTAGTCAAAAGTCGGATTCAAATCAAATCAAATCGTTTATTTCCATAAATTGAACTATATAATACGCAGATGCATATTATACGGAAATATATTTTTCCGCATAGGCATAAGCCCATGTGCGTAAAGAGTTTTAAATCTGCTATAAACAATAACTGTTACATTGTGGATGTACAATAAATTTATTTATCTAATTAAAACATGTATTACAATTTACTGGGTGACTATTCCTTAAAAATAAGTAAATATTAAATAAAAAGGTCATTTAAAAGTTAATATGTATCAAATAAGGACAAAATAACACAATAAGTAATTTAGAGTAGAATTTCCTAATATAACCAAAGATTGAAATTAGCAACTGAAAGATGTAGCTACAATGCCAGGGTCTCAGCAGTAAACTAACATTTTTAAGTTTTTTTCTAATGAGCTTATTTTTTGGGGATTGATTTGGAAAACCATAAGTTCCTTTATTTTGTCTAAAGATTAACAGACCAGAATGCATAGTTCAGAACAAAGATGAGTGTTGATCAAATGGGATAATGGTTTTACTGAATAAGTCAAATTATTTAGGCTTATCAGTTATTAAGGATCAAACTTGTTAATAGGACTTCCAGTTCATGCATTACAAGGTAGCCTTTTGAACCTCGCTATTTATAGCTATTTATAGCATTTATACAGGGTGGCTGAAAAGTAACTTGCACCCCCCTTTAACTTTTCAACCATTTGAGATATTTGAAATCGGTTCGCAGCAACCTTCTTAGATATGAGGGGCTACAATAATTATGGTCAATTTTGAAAATTTTGTCCTTAGGGGTAGCGGGGGTAGGGGGTAGCTCAAAATTTTCAAATGACAAGTATAGTCAAATTCGGTATCATTTTACAGGTCTTGACCAAACATAAACATTGACATAAAGAAAACCAAAATCGGCTCACTAATAACAAAATGGCGCCCTAAAACGTTTCAAATCCATGAGGGTGGCAAAAAATTAACTTGCACCATTTTTAACTTTTTAACTATTTTAGATATTTGAAATCGGTTTGCGGCAACCGATTTCAAATATCTAAAATAGTTAAAAAGTTAAAGAGGGTGCAAGTTAATTTTTTTGCCACCCTCATGGTTATTTGGATTTGAACCATTTTAGGGTGCCATTTTGTTATTAGTAAGCCGATTTTGGTTTTCTTTATGTCAATGTTTATGTTTGGTCAAGATCTGTAAAATGATACCAAACTCAACTATACTTGTCATTTGAAAATTTTGAGCTACCCCCTACCCCCGCTACCCCTAAGGGCAAAATTTTCAAAATTGACCATAATTATTGTAGCCCCTCATATCTAAGAAGGTTGCCTTAAACAGATTTCAAATATCTCAAATGGTTGAAAAGCTAAGGTGGGGTGCAAGTTACTTTTCAGCCACCCTGTATACAGTACATACAGGGTTAGTAAAAAGTGTGGAGACCCCCTGTTATTTTTTTAACGGCCCATACTAGAAAAACTAAACTCAGCACACCATTATGACATGTTATGAAGTACTTTTTGGGCATAACCGCCACTTGGTGTTCATCCCCAAAATGGGGTATTTTGGGGGAACTCAAAAATTTCAAATACAAAGACCCATCGAGTGACCCCTCATTTTGAAGGTCATAATAAAAGAAAACTAACAACACAAACTATAGGTCTCTATCTTAGTACAGTAAAATATGGCAGCCAATTGAATATAAAATTGCAAGTTATTTCCGATTTCTTAAGATTTCAATCAGCTTCCATTTTTTACTGGATTGAGATAGAAACCTCTAGTTTCCGTTGTTAGTTTTCTTTTACCAGGACCTTCAAAATGACCTTCAACTCGATGGGGCTTATCATTTAAAACTTTTGAGTTTCCCCCAAAATCCCCCATTTTGGGTTTGGTAAGCAAAAGGCTATTAGGCTTAAAAAGTACTTCATAACATGCCAAAAAGGTGTGTAGAGTTTAGTTTTCCTAGTGTGAGCCCCTACAAAATTTACAGGGGGTCTCCAGACTTGGAAAGCTGTAAGTTAAATTTAACTTCTGAGAATTTAAATTGGCTGCCATTTTTTACTGGATTGAGATAAAGACCTCTAGTTTGCGTTGTTGGGTTTCTTTTACCGGGACCTTCAAAATGAGGGGTCACTTGATGGGTGTTTGTATTAGAAATTTTTGAGTTTCCCCCAAAATACCACATTTTGGGGATGTACACCAATAAACGGGTATGCCCAAAAAGTACTTCATAACATGTCATAAAGGTGTGCCAAGTTTAGTTTTTCTAGTATGGGCCATTAAAAAAATAACAGGGGGTCTCCACACTTTTTACTAACCCTGTATACTTAATAAACATCATGTAAAAGAGTAGAAACTTTTATTATGACCATTAAATACCTCATAATTTGAAACAAATATTTCAGAATTATATTTAGGCCTAAGGCAAAATTAACGTATTTTACTAAAGGTTGATAAATGATCCAGTGTACAGTGATGATTATAGTTAAATAAACTCAGACTAAATTCAAAAATTCATTTATTCCATTATTTGGCAAACAGTTTATATTACAAATTAGTTACTCAACTGATTACCTTTATGTCTCACAAAGAAAGAATAAAAACATTGCAAATAATTGCTTATTTCTTTAAAATTAGGCTAACTAGCAATAGATAACCATGGCATATCTTGTAGCTTGTCAGATAAAATAAGCAATTTGTACAATGATGAGGGCTCCCTATCTGCCTTTTGTCAAGCTAGGATTTATTTGACAAGCTCAATGCTGGTTAGAAAAAAAAATACATTATTTATATATATAATGTTTTAATTGTTATGGGACTTATCTGGAACTTTCCATAGTTTTAAAACCTGTTACTGCTTTCAAATCTTCTCACACCCAACAGATGTAGCCTACGATTTAAGGCATATGCTTGGTTCCATACCAGTTTCAATACAAAACTGATAAGAATAAATAGTAATAATTGATATAAGTATTGATGGTCAAATTTTAAGAAGTTGCATTTTAAAATGTTTACATGTTGCGCTAATGAAAATTCAAACTTTTTTTAAACAAGTCTAATTTAGTTTTGAGAGTTTTTACTCGACTGAATACTTTACCAATCTTAGTTTTTGCTTTAATGTTTTAGTAAGTAACAGTGATAAAAGAAGCTCAAGCCGGTTTAAAAAGGTCAATTTAAACTTTGAAAAACAAGCTGCTGCAAATGTCACTAAGTTTTGTTGTCATTTTAGTCTGCGAAGTAATGTAAGCAACAAATGAGACCTTGAAGAAATAAAAGCAGTTAGGTTTGGTCGACTCATTAGAATCCCAATGCCGATCCATTAGCAGACTTGAGTGTGTGTGTGTGTGTGTGTGTGTGTGTGCTTTCATGTAGAATGTTACATGTGTGTTTGTTATTGTCTAATGGTTAGCACAACTTGTTGTCAAAAGGATGAGGCCATTCTTCCACAAAAAGTTTCTATTGTTTAATTTCATTATTGATACTTGAAATTGAATTCTTTCTGAAAATTCAGCTAATTTGAGGATTTGAGGATTCTTAAGATTTGACTTTTACACATTACGTGATAATGGCCTACTTTTTAACAATTTCCCAATAGGGAAGTAGGAAGTAGCTACAGTAGAACCTCTTTAATCTGAACCCCCGTAATCCGAACATCCAATAATCCGAACACCTCATTGCTGCACTCTATACACAGTACAGTATAGTTCTATATCGTATACTATATTTAATATACAGTAAGGTACGGTACTGTTAATTCACTATGTTTACTACTGTATTAAATTAATACTGTATTTTACTTTATGAAGCATTTTTTTTACTTTTCCTCCTGTAACAATTACGATCTATTTTAGCCACGTCTTAGCTATTGTTATGTAAATACAACAATATGTTCTCTAATCTGAACTATTCAATAGTCCGAACTAACCCCGGTATTAATTAGTTCGGATTAACGAGGTTCTACTGTATTACCGTAGGTTTCACGGTAAGACATAGGCCCGGGACCGATTTATTTTTTAATAATGAAGTCCCCAGAGGCCAAAAACACCTTTCGTTTAGAATTTTTATATATGTATACCTATATATATAGAGAGAGAGAGAGTTATATATGTGTCCATAAACGTGATAACTTAAGAATTTTTGTCCGATTGGAATAAAAATTTGGTTTGAAGGTGTAAGGCGGAATAAACTTGGATGAGTTTGCAAACCAGCATCATCGGACTATGGGAACAGGGTTTTACGGGTTTTATGGGGTAAAAATTGGTTTTTCTAATTTTTGACCGTCAAAACACAAAATTTCACAAGTGTTTTTGGGCGGTTATTAGTTACAGAGAAATTTTAAAAAAAATAGTAATTTTAAAACTTCTATGTTATTCTTATGGAGAATATTGTAAAATATTGTAGTTTGCCTGTTTATGGATATATTTTGATCAAACTCAACAAATGTATTTATTTTATACTAAGCTATTAATATTTTAACCAAAAAACACACTTTATTAGTTTCCCTGTAGCAGAAAACCTAGGTAGCCTACTCGTTAGGTTAAACCTAATGTTATCTAAATATATTTAAATGAAAATCAATTCTGGCAAATGGAAATTCGCTTAAACGGCAGGTTTGCTGCAACGGTGGTATTTACTTATACACAGTACACCAAATTAGTGTTTTAAAAAATTATTATAAAATTAAATTGTATTTTTATGTGATTTGAGGTGGAGTTAATAGGATACTGTTGATTTAATTAAAGTAACAAACCATCAACCTCTCAAAGATTGTAACTTGCTTTTCTGATTATAAAACCAGTTTGAAATCCAAACACTAAGGTATGCTGAAGTAACCAAAATGTAATGCATTGAAGCCCAGCAATATAGGAAAACTATTGCTTGCTTTGAAGACTCAAACGATTCTTCTCAAAATTTAAAATACGCCTCTGGCCTATTCTAGGCTCGTTACAAATTAAACACTAAATTACAATAGTGATGAACGTCTTCTTTTAAACTTATGAATAATTAGTAAATACCTTAACTTTTAGTATAAAAAGTCAATTAAAAATGTTCTTATATTTATAAGGCAACTTACAGTATTTAGATTCGTTAAGTGTTGCATGCATTATTTAACTTCTAGAGCAACATGACAGATTTACTGGTAGGTCAAACTATGTTTTCTTGGCTAAAACTTGTGCATACTTAAGAGCACAGAAAACATACTACTATAACCCAGAATGCTAACCGCATGGTAAAAAGTGACAAGTACTCGAAGAGAGCTTTGCCTGTCAATTTGTAGGCAGCGCCACCAGCATACAATGCACCAGCATAGCAACGCTCGTGGGGCTGCATACGAATTGACAGGCAAAGCTCTCTCCGAGTACTTAACGCTTTTTACCATGCGGTTAGCATTCTGGGTAGTATGTTTTCTGTGCTAAGAGTCACTTTTTGACCCTGAAATTCGGCTTGCCCATGTGGCTAAAATATGCTAAACCCTATTGTTCTAAAACAGAAACATGATAAAAGTTAATTAAGTGTTTTAGGATATTACTTTTATTTTAACTAAATTAGTAGATGACGTCTACAGTCGGAGGTGAAGCTCACCAGTATGATATCCTTATTGGTAGACGCTGCATAGTGGAACACAGAGTTGGCCTCGTGGTCTAGATGTTCCAGGGAAGCCTTGGCGTTGACCAGTGCCTTGACTACGGCCAGCTGCTGCTCTTTGATGGCCAACATCAGCGGAGACTCCCCCTTCAGTGCATCGGGTGTGTTGAGGTGACTGGGGCAAACATTTACATTAAAAAAAAAAAGTTTACAACAGAATTTAAAATTATTTGTTTGAGTCGTTTTAAATAGAGATCCCCAAAAAGTTGAGTTTAGGGGCTGATAGATGTAAACATCACATGTTGCTAAACATGACTTAGATATTCAGTCAGGGTATACTCTCCAAAATCTACTCTCAGTTGTTTTTTATATGTTAGGTTTTTTGAGCTGGGCTATATTAGGATGATGAAACAGCTGATCTTAATCAGTAAAAAAGGCATCTCACTTCATTTTAATTTACACTCATCCTTCAATCATATTTGTGTTAAACCATAGATAAAACATAGTCCCTTAGTAGATTTCCCATCCTTATGGAACAGCTGAAGCCAATTTTATTGTTAGTTGTCTGGTTTTCTGTAGATGTCGTGTTTTGTTTACAATTTGTTTCTTTTTATTTCAGTAATTTAAAACCTCGTTTAACCAAATAAAACTATCTAATCATAAACAATAACTCGTCCACTAGCTATATAACCAAATAGTGAGACACAAATAATGAGAAACTAACCCTAAAATAATAGAAACAAATTGTAAACAAAACACAACATCTACAGAAAGCCGGAGAGAACTAACAATAAAATTGGCTTCAGCTGTTCCATAAGGATGGGAAATCTACTAAGGGACTATGTTTTATCTAAGGTTAATCCTAAGCATCCCCATTTCAATTAGTGAAAACAATAACATGATGAAATATCATTGTTGTGTTTTGTGACCTTGTGACATCTATCTTGACAAGTCAATGACAAATGTATGATGTCCAATAGACAACATTCAAATATATTAAATAGATTTTAATATCCTCAGTTTGGATGGCTGGACTCATTCTATTTTCAAAACAACTCCTAAATCAGCCACTTGGTTTTTTTTTTAAATAAGTTATTAAAAAATGACTCTTGTTTTCATGAGTCTTACTATAGGGATTTTACTGAACCAACATTTTAATGGCTTATAGCATAGGCCTACCTAAGAACTTGTTCTGAATTCAAGCAGTCTGTCAGGTTCAAGAAGACAGCCAAGTGTGTGATAGTCCATGATGGATGGTCTTGAATTACGTCACAAACTTTCTGGATGCCACTCAGAGAGTTGACCTAAGCCAGATTTGCATCTTATTACCAATGATAAATCATTTCACTACAACAAAACATTGTGTATTATCAGAGATGACACTTGGGATAGGACTTCCCAATCAAAAGAGTTATCTCAATATTTTTGGTTACTAAACTCAATCTAAAGCTATGGTTCCACAGACTGCGGAACTTCCGCCGTGTGGTGCGTAATTTTCCGCAGCGGAAAATTAAGCAGCGTAAATCTGGAGGGGTGGTTCCACTGACTGCGGAAATAACGTTGCGAAAATTCAGTTGAGTCCAAACTAGCAGCGAGTATGGATAGGAAGATGAAAGCCCTCGTGGCTTTGATGCTGTATGATGATATTGATGATGATGTTGTCTGTAACCTTCACCTTTATTTTTTAATGGTTATGCCTTCTTAATATAGGCCTATTTTGAATTTTACATAATACCTTTTAATGAGTTAGGGTAGTGTAGTATATTTAATGATTTTATGTATTCAATATTATAGTTGTAAAACAGCGTTTCTTGTAGGAAACCAGATTTGTATAAAATGTAAGTGTGTGTTAGTGTGTGTGTACATCACGCCACGTCTGTGACGTCATATCAGGTGATTTTTAATAAACTCCCATTGGCTGCCGCGACCACGCTATACCCGTGCATCTAACCACTACGTCAGTCCGTCCTAGTCCTGCAACCGTACACTTTTATCCCGGTCCGGGCAGCCCGTGGTATTAACTAATTATGTAGTTTTTATTTCTCACTAGTCCCGTCTCCTGTCAAGTTAAGACGTCGTCACACCGGCGACGTCACACTGGCGACGAGGAAGTTACAGTGATAACGATGGCGTTATTAAGAACCTAACTATTCGTGAGTGCGGTGTAACTGATCGACCGTATTTTTATAAGTATTAGGGTTAATGTCCGATTACGACAACCCAGTGTTAATTTTATCTCGTGTCTTCTTTGAACAAGATACAATGTCTGGAATCATCGGCGGAATCGGCGACTTTGACGGGAGTGAAGAATCTTGGACCTCGTACGTTGAAAGGTTTGAGTTATTTGTCGAGTGTAACGGGATTAGTGATGCCAAAAAAGTGAGTACTTTATTGACAGTAGTCGGGAAGAAAACGTACAATCTGTTACGCGATTTGTGCACGCCCGATAAACCTAACGCAAAATCTTTTAAAGATATAGTAAAGTTAATTCAGGATCATTTACATCCTAAACCATCATTCATCGCGGAACGTTACAAGTTTAGTAAACGCAACCAATTAGAGGGGGAAGGAGTTGCCGAATACGTAGCAAATTTGAAGAAGATGTCCACGCACTGTGAGTTTGGCGCATCGTTGAACGACTTTCTTCGAGATCGTCTAGTTAGTGGAATAAGAAGCGACACTATCAAACAGAAACTGTTATCAGAGTCCAGTTTAACGTTTGATCAAGCTGTGAAAATCGTCTCATCAGCGGAAGCGGCGGAGAAGAATGCAGCGGCGTTGACGGTCGGCAGCAGCGGCGGCAAGGTGTTGCGAGTGGCAGCGGCACAACGACGACGAGATTCAGGGAGCAGCGGCAGCGCCCAGCAGCACAATCAAACGTCAAAGTCAACACCTCGACCTCAACACAAATCAGTGCAGTGTTTTTGTTGTGGTGGCTTCGGTCACATGAGAAATGAGTGCAGATTATTGGGTGCTGTGGTATGTCATTTTTGTGGAAAAAAGAATCATTTAGCTAAAGTGTGCAGATCAAAGCTGTTAGGTAAGTCAAACAAAAATAATATTTTTAAGAATGATAAGAACAATTTGAAAACTGAAAGGACTAATGGACAGTTTAGTAAAAACAACAAAATGCATAACTTTGTTTCTGACAGGAAATCTCAGATAAATTCTAATGATAGTTGTGATGAGTATGTTTACGATATTGCTACACTATTTCAAATTGAGGACGAAATTGAGGTAGCTAATAATAGTAATGTCAACGTTAAAGTAGCTCCACTTAAAATTGATGCTATTGTAGAAGGTAAACAAGTCACGTTTGAAGTTGACACTGGAGCTAGTGTCAGTGTTTGTAGTGAGGATTTTTACAACAAAAATCTGTCATTTTGCAAATTACAGCCTAATGATCTATCCTTAAGTTCGTATACTAACGAACCTAATGTCCCTATTGGTAAAATAAAAGTGAATGTTAGTTACCAGGATTTCAAGGATAACCTAGATCTGTATGTGATTAAAAAAAGGCGCACATCCATTAATGGGGCGTAATTGGCTTCAAGCATTAGGGGTAAATATATCGTTCAAAACCAATTTGTTGAGTGACAAAAATTTTAAGTTGTTATCACACAATGAGCAGTTTGACAAAATCGTAGTTGAGTTGGAAAAAGAGTTTCCAAAAGTTTTCAGTGACAAGTTAGGTCAGTACAAGGGAGATCCTGTAGAGCTTAAGTTAAAAGAGAATGCTACTCCCAAGTATTTCAAACCTAGACCGATACCTTTTTCGTTGAAAAGTAAAGTAGAGGCAGAGTTAGAAAGATTACAAACTGAGGAAGTTTTAGTACCTGTAAGTAGCTCATCTTGGGGGACGCCTATCGTCCCAGTTTTAAAGAAAAGTGGGGAAATTAGAATCTGTGGGGATTTTAAAGTAACTTTAAATCCATTCCTAGAAGTTGAAAAATATCCTTTGCCTAGAATCGATGAGCTATTTGCTAATTTACAAGGTGGACAAACCTTTAGTAAAATTGATCTCAGTCAAGCTTACATGCAACTTAAATTAAATGACGAGTCAAAGAAATTATGCACTATCAGTACTCATAAAGGGCTATTTTCCTATCAGAGAATGCCATATGGCATCTCATCAGCTCCTGGCATTTTTCAAAAGGTCATTGAACAGACACTCCAAGGCTTGGAAGGTGTGGCAGTATTCTTGGATGATATTTTGATTACAGCTAAAGATACTAACACTCATTTGAGTAGGTTACGGGAAGTTCTTACACGGCTAAATGATAAGGGGTTTACCATCAAAAAGAGTAAATGCAAGTTCTTTTCAGACAAATTAGAGTATTTGGGATTTTGTATCGACAAGGAAGGTCTCCACACCTCCCAAGCCAAGGTTGAAGCAATAGTAAAAGCACCTGTACCTAAGAACGTAACTGAAGTAAAAGCTTTTATTGGTTTAGTAAACTACTACGGAAAATTCATTCCTAACATGTCTACCATTCTGAGTCCTGTATATAATTTGCTTAAGAAAGATGTTCCATTTAATTTCAATGCTGAATGTATGCAATCTTTCAACAAGGTTAAAGAATTATTGACAAATGCCCCTATTCTTGCTCATTATGACTCGAGTTTGCCTGTAATATTAGCAACTGACGCAAGTTCAACAGGGCTAGGTTGTGTGTTAAGTATCAAAACAAGTGAAGGAATAGAGAAACCTGTTGCGTATTTTTCACGTACTTTGTCACCCACTGAAGTTAAGTATAGTCAGGTAGAAAAAGAAGCTCTGGCCATTGTTTTCGGTGTTAAAAAGTGTAACCAGTACTTGTATGGCAGAAGGTTTACCTTATGTACAGATCATAAACCATTAATAAGTATTTTTGGCCCTAAGAAGGGGTTGCCTGTTTTTGCAGCTAGTAGGCTACAAAGATATGCTTTGTTTTTGTCAGGCTACATTTTTGACATCAAATATGTTAAGTCAGTAAGTCATGGTAACGCAGACGCTCTGTCACGATTACCACTACAAGTTCCACATCCGATGGAAAGTAATGATTTCCAATGGCAAGGCACATATTTAAATTGTATTTTTGAAAGCTCAGTGCCACTAACCTTTGAACACGTTAAAGTCGAAACGCAAAAAGACCCTATTTTACACAAAGTGTGTAGCTATGTCCTGCATGGATGGCCTAGTTTTTTGCCGGAAGAGAGAGGTGATATGTTACCTTATTTCCAAAGGAAGGAAGAATTGACTGTAGAAATGGGCATTTTAATGTGGGGTTACAAAGTCGTGGTTCCTAATTCTATGAGGGATTATGTTTTAAAAGAGTTACATTGTAGTCATATGGGAATCGTAAAAATGAAGTCAGTGGCAAGGTCGTATATTTGGTGGCCAAATATAGACCAAAACATAGAAGCCTTAGCAAACAGCTGTTCTTCCTGCCTTACGGAACGTTCTAACCCAACTAAAAGTTTCTTGCATAATTGGCACTATCCATCTAAGCCTTGGGAAAGATTACATCTGGACTATTTTGGACCAATAAGAGGTAAAATGTTTTTAATTGTAGTAGATGCTCATACCAAGTGGCTGGAGGCTTTTGAAGTAGGTTCCACCTCAGCCAAACAAGCAATTGTACATTTAAGAGATTTGTTTGCTAGATTTGGTTTGCCAGTAACTTGTCACAGTGACAATGGTCCACCATTCACATCACTTGAGTTTAAACAGTTCCTAAAGTCAAATGGAGTAATACAAACTTTCTCACCTCCCTATCATGCCCAATCAAACGGCCAAGCCGAGAACTCAGTAAGATATGCTAAAACTAAGCTTAAATGTGCACTAAATGACAACACTGATTTTAATGTTGCTCTAAGTCGTATATTGTTTGACTATAGAAACTCCGTGCATGCTGTTACCAATGAAACTCCAGCTATGCTGATGTTTAAACGTCCCCTAAGGACCAGGTTAGATTTGCTAAAACCTAACTTACCAAGTCATGTTGAGTGTAAACAAAACAAACAAAGAGAGTATTTTGGTGGCAGTAAAACCAGAGTTTTGTACCCAAATCAGTCTGTATTAATTAGAGACTACCGCTCAAAAGATAAATGGGTAGAAGGTACTGTACATAAAAGATTGAGTAATGTTTTGTATGAAGTTAGGCTAAGTTCAGGTGTTGTTTGGATGAGACATATTGATCAACTGGTAGGTTTGCAGGGAAGTAGTAACAATGACTGGAATGCGCAACCTGAAACCGTGTGTGAGCCGGCAGTAGTACCATCAGCTGATTCCCCCAAAACTCCGTTACAGCAATCCCACTCC